AAGGGGGGATAATGGAGACATTTGTGTCTTTCTCATGTGATATTTGAATTCCAGTGCTGAGCTTTTTTTAGGCAATGGACCAGGTTGAAAAACATGGATATTTCATTCTAGAATACTCATGTTCATACTCAAGCTTAGTGTTGCCTTAGTAAAATTATGTTAAGGACATAATTTATGTCCTTAAAATTATGTTAAGGTTTCTTTAAATCAGCTTCCACCCATATTTTTGTATGGAGGTGAACCTAAGGTAGCTTTAGTCAGGGGGGCTCAGACACTGATGGCAGCAGAGCTGGAGCAGCTCCAGCTCCTTCCTGCAGAGGAGCAGGCTGTGAGTAAGCCTGTGGTGCTCTCTGTAGGGCCCTGCCAGTAACCAAAGCATTCTGGATGCAGCTGCAGACCCTTCAGCAGTGCCCTCAGCTCTCCCCATCATGCCCTGGTGTACAGGGTGCAGAGCTCAGTGCCCGTGTCCACACGTCTGTCCTTGCTGGGGAATCATCACTGCCTGAGGGAAACTGCTGGGGCTTGGAGGGTCATCTCACCAGTGGGTAGGGCCCATGGCTTTTGTAGCTCTGCATCTTTTTGTCACTTTTCCTGCCAGCCTGAAGGCATGAAGGAAGCATATTTAGCTGCATGATATCAGTGGGTGGGAGGGTTCCTGTGGCGTGGTGACTTACCTGCACAAGGTGCTCAGTGTGAGACACACGGCTGATCTCCACCTTGCTGGCCAGCCTCAGCCCTGCCGTGGCCAGGCTTCTGTCAGGGAGCCTGTGCATAATGATGCTCTCATAGCTGTACAGGTAGGTCTTGCCCATGTGAAAAACAGGCTCTGTTAGGAAAAAAATAAAACAGAAACACTTCCTTGACTATGACTGTTGTCATGTTACTTAACCAGTGGCAGCTGCCACTGCCAAATGCAGGTGCAAGCAGTGGGCAAGGCAAGGCTGTAAGGAAAGGCAGCAAGGGAGCTGCTGCCTGGCAGGGGAGCCACTTACCTAGGTCCTGCTTCTGGCCCTCTGTGAGGAAGGAAAGAAAAGTGGTCATGAAAAAAACCCATTTCTGTAGATCCTTTAATATATTATTCATCAAGTCAGTGTGCTAATGGTTGGCAAACCACCAGTAATGGGGCTCACCACACACCCCCAGGACACCAAGCCCATGCCAGCCCTGCTCACTAGCTGCTGCTTGCTGGCTTTTCTCCTACTGCTGAGCTTAGCACAGAAATCTAACAGTTTACAGCTGAATCTATAAAAGGGCTTCAGCAAATGAAGCTGTAAATATCCCTGAAAAGCCCCAAGGAGATGCAATTTGCTCAGGATCACAGTGGCTGTCACAGCTCAGCAGTGAAGGTAAAGCTTCAACTTACCCACGAGGGCGAACACCAGGGCCAGGATGAGTCCCTTCATGCTAAAAGTGACTGAAGTCCACAGGGGAAAATCTGTGCCTTTTATAGAAGAATTATTAACAGGCACAGTGAATTTTGTTGAATTATCAACTTCTTATCAACCACCCAACAAACCATTTGAGGGAGAGGGGGTTGGGGTCAGGGCAATAGATATTTCTGCTGAACCAAAACCATCACAAGTTCTCTTGTTCTCACTTCACCAACTGAATGTCTTGAAAGTACCTCTAGAAACAACTACCTAAAAGTATTAAAACATAGTTAAAGCCAAAATTTACTATTATGTAAGCAAAACTACTAATTATCCTTACTCCCTGAAAGCACCTGGTGCTATTGCAGTCTGTGCTGACTTTGTCTGGGTTGTCCTGACCTGACCATAAGACACACAGCTTATCTAACTGATAGTGCCCAGCAGGATTGTGCAAAGCCCCGGGCAGGGCTGCTGTGACACCATGCCCACCCTGCCCTGCTGTGAGTGGGACAAGCTGTCAGCACAGTGCTGCTCTCTGGGGACAGGGACTTCACGCCTCCTGTCACTGTCACGAGGGCCATGGCTACATGCTGCTGACGTCCACGCGTCCCTCACTGCCTTCTGTTCCAGGGCTGATGTGCCAGCCCCTTTCACTGCCGTGTTTGGCCCCAGAGGGGTGTTAGTAGGGGTTGCCTGGCCAGGGGGACAGGGTGAGGCTGACAGGTGTTACAGGTCAAACCTCTTGGTTTAACAAAAGTGGACAGCATGCAGGCCACCCAAACTCTTCACATCACACAGCAAGGGGGAACACTTCACCCCATGGTGAAGTGGAGCCCCCTTCTCTCATCAGCAGGCATTTTCCCTGTCCCTTTTTAGGCAAACCCACAGATCCCTCAGGCTGCTCTGGGCTCCAGGGTTTGTTTTGCTCCTGAGTCCACTTGTTCCCTCCAGCCAGGTCATGAAGTGCTCCTTTAGGAATCAGCACAGGGAGGGCTAAGGCAGCCCCAGGCTGGGGGGGTTACCTTGGCACTGTGTGGCCACTGATTCCCTACCAACATTCTCCTCTCTGGGTGGGAACCAAAGATGCTGCTGCCCAGCTCACTGTGGGAAGGGACTGGATTCATTTTCTCATCAACAGACCAGAGGCTCCTATCCAAGACAGCTTAGTTTTTGTAATGCTGTTTAGCTGATGGGGTTTTATAATTAGCTGTTGGGATATAATTTATGTCTGACAAACAGTGGATTCTCTTCCTAGATCAAAGATGGCATCTGTAGGGCAAAAAAAAAGGAAAAAGGAAATTTGAAGCATGACAAATCCTTTTTACTGGCTCTGTATTCAGGTCCTGATTTTTTAACCCTTTCCCTTGAAAAACTGGTAGCACATGACAGAAAGCCAAGCTATTCAATAGAGAGTTCTGTCATATCTTTGGAGATTTGGTAAATGTACTTAAGGGATTTGAGTATACAGCTACTGGCCCCTGGTACTCAAGGCTCAAAGCTATTATGGCACAACTGCATGCAGCTGCACAGTTTGGGTGTTTAAAAAAAACCAAACAACAACATCTTGCAGACAGCAAGGACTTGAGGTCAGTGGCAGTACAAGTAGAAAGCTGCTGTGATGGCAATATTAAATGCAACAATGCCTGTATTCTGAAAATTATAACACTATATCACACTATAACAAGTGACTCCTCAAAATAAAGGTCAAACAACATTCCTCAAAGTAAGGGTCTTCACTGGGAGTGTGCAGGCTGCACCCAGCTGCAAGGGCAGGGTCTCCTCAAAACCACCAGCACTGCAGACTGGGATTGCAGAATCCTGTCCCCATCCCACCCCATCCATCCCTTTGGGCAGCAGATGCTGCATCCCTGGTCATCCCAGCCATGCTGCTGCCACTGGGATATCTGCTCTTCTGCTTCAGCACCTAAACCTGCTGGCAAGGGCTTTGTCTCTAGTGACTTCTCTATGAAACTGAAACCTCTCCTTTTCTAGGTCACTTCTTCAGTACCTCAAGAACAATTTCAGCTCCCAGTCTTTGCTCCCATGCACTCACAGCCCTTTTACACTAGTGTTACTCAGAAGGATAGAACCTGAATGAAAAAGAGAGAGGAAAAAAAGCGCCCCCAAACTAAGAAAATGGTGAGGGAGACAAACAGTTTTGCTGGGCCCATTTCCCTCGAGCTCCCAGCTCCCTCCACAGTGGCAGGGGGCGAGAGGAGCAGAGGCTGCCCGAGGGCTCTCCAAGGCCCTCCTGAGGGGACACCTACACCCACCTGGCCTGCAGTCCCACAGGTGCTCTGGCTGCCCTGGGGGATGCTCACCCCGGGTCTCCTGCCAGGGATGCTCACCCAGGGTCCAGCACACCTGGGTGCTGAGGCTGTTAGAAAACAATTCCCCCAAAACTCTGCTCCAGCCCTGGCATGCTGGGAAGAGCAGAACCCTATGGGCTGCCCCATCTGGAGCTGGAAGTTTGTGCCAGCACTGCCCACAGGGGCCACATAAAGCCCTGGGTTCGGCTGAGTTCAGCCTGAGGTGACCTGAAAAGTCTGTGCTTTCCATCACTGCTCTGTGTGAGCTCCAGGCAAGCAGCAAAGCCACCAGCTCATGGCTTTGCTGCTGCTGCCAGCTCCCCATCATTCTGCAGTGCAGGTTACCATGGCAGCATCTAAACTGCATAGAATGGTATATTTAGACCTTTCAAACATAGTTCTTTTGGGGCTAAGGACTTTACCTTTATGAACTATAAAACTGATATCCAAACAAGAAAATTCAGGTATGTGCATTTATTGAAGGTGCAAAAGCTGCTGGGGAGAGCAAAACAACACAATTTTTACAGAATGTCCTCAAGTGTTTTCAAAATCCCATTCATCCAGTGTGCATACTCAGCCTGCAAACACAGCAAGCAGAAAACACCTTCCAGATCTGCTGGAATCCTTTGGGCTCCACTGCTCAGGGCAGATAAGCAATTGCAACACAGCTCACTGCCCAGCTCATCCCTGGCCATGGCCACACAGACCTGTGGTGGGGCAGGAGCAGAGCCCACCTGGGGGTGGTTGCAGTGGTGACTCTTGCTGGGCACAGAGGTTGGGACATCTCCCCCAAAGTGCAGAGGTCTGGCTCAGCTTCAGAGCCTTTGGCAGGTGCTGTGCTTGATGTGCCTGGTGTGCTTGGTGTGCCCCACCTGTCCTGCTCAAAGACACCAATTCACAGTAGCTTCTGCATGGGGTGCACCAGAAATTTAACGTGCTCTTGGCTCCCTCAGAGCAGCCTTGCCCAGGGACACGAGGCTCAGGTTCATTCCCTGAGCCTCTGCTCCCTGCAGCAGCACTGGCCCATCACAGAGCTCTGGCCAATTGCCACAGCTGCATGGCTGCTGCAGAGGGTGCAGCATCACACCCAGGTGAGCAGCTCCGCTGCAGGATCCCAGCACCAGGGGAAGCTGCAGGAGTAGTACCACAGCTGCCCAACCCAATTCCCAGTGTAACCCTGGTGCACAGATCTCAAGAAGTCTGTGAAATGGGGGATAAAACCTATGCAGAACTCCTCTTTCCACCACCAGTGAAATAAGGAAGCCTTCACCATTTTTTCCATGCATATATTTATTATGAAATCAGATATTTATGGACAATCATAACAGTTTCTACAATAATGAAGTTTAATACTTTAAATTACTTGGAAAGATTCCACATACAAGATCCTTGAATACTTAATTTAGTATCTATTATTCCTTAAGACAAGGTTTTTTACACCATACAATAAAAACATGAAAGTTTTATGTTTTCTCCTATGCTGCAAAGGTACAGCTTCATGAGCTGCAGTTTATATCCTCACAAGAACATGCTATGTGTGCATCAACAGTGTCCTGCATATCCTCTGACTTCTGGTCAAACTTTGTCTGCTTTTCTGTCAGGCTGGTGGCTGAATCTGATGGGGAACAAGAAATGAAAATTAAAGAGCTTACTTCACAAGTAGTTCTGCAAGCTACAACATTTACCATGCACTAGTTATTAATTACAGCAGGCTTGGCTGTTCCTCACTGTTTTACATATTTATATTTGTCTAAATCACACAAAGATCTTCCAGGAAACCCACTTCATTAATAAGCCAGTTCTACCTTGAAAGCTACTACTTCCATGCAGAATTTTATTAACACATTTAGGAAAGGGTATAATGATGTTTAAGAAAAAAAGCCTTGTAAAACAGATACAACTCTATGCTCTATATAATCTATATCTACTTTATTTAATCTCTTATAATATACATGTATACAAAATAAATCTCATATCACTCGACCTGTGTGTAAGAATCCTGTCCACACTTACCCTTCTAGTACCTAAATCAGCTCAGTGAAGTAGGATCACTCCCAAAGGCAGAAATATATAAAAAATGCAGGGCAAGGATCCCCGATTTGGGGTGCTGCACTTGGTCCTGTATGGCTCAGGCTGCACGGGCTGCAGTCCACAGCTTTTCAGCTGAATCACAATGCTGACTGCTGTTGTCCTGCCCTTACTTTGTTAGTCCTAAGCACCCCAAAGGAGGATTCAGTTTAGATTTTAAATCCCAGTACAATGAAAACAATTAAATGTGCAATAGAGAACCATCTCCCTCACTGAAGGAATGTTTGCCTATTAATAAAACAGGGAAAGAGCTTCAGCAAATAGGTCAGTAAGTCCATGCCTACCTATGGCTATGTTATTCACGTTTTTAAGCGGAATAACCGAGTGAAGCGGCAATGCATTTACACCTTGCTGAGCCCCTGCCCCGTGGGGTTTCTGTCTTACCGGCAGGGAGGCAGTGGAAGCCCACGGTGACGGGGGCGGTGCGGGTCGGGGCGCAGCCCTTGGTGCAGCGCAGCACGGGCTCCGTGGAGTAGCAGCGGGACTCCACGCCGGCCAGCTGCACCGGCCTCTCCAGCTTCACCAGCGAGTGCCGCAGCTTGCAGGCTGCAAAGGAACCCCACGGCTCGGTGCTTGCACGCCAGAGCCCCAGACCCCCCCAAGGACCCATCTGCCACTCTGCACGCTTCCCTCTGTGAAAACTGTGCTTTGATCATGAGTGGAGAAGCTTTACTGACTGATCAATCTTGCAAATCAGCTTGTTAGATATGGAAAGCTAACTTCAAATGCTGCTGCTCTGCTTCTAGATCAGGATATAGAAACTTAGTACTTTCTAATAAACATTTTTCAAGGTAAACTGGCTTACTGAATAGCTGTCAAACCATTTTGAAATGCTGAATATTCAGCAGTGGAGCTAAAGGGGAGATTTCTGACCAAATAAAATTAATCACTAAAGAATTGCATTGTTACCAATGTCATTCAGACACAGAACTGGTCACAGAGAGAGCATCAGTCATTGCTGCCAACAAGTAATATCGCTCTCATTTTGGACTGCCAGGACAAACAGTTACAAGTGAGGAGCTAAACAGACCACAATTTATTCTTAGATATAAATTTTATGTCTTCAAATTTCAGCAGTTTCCACCATATGTTAAATGGAAACAGAATGTGGTCGCCACCAGCCACAGGAATATTACTGTGGATGTGCACGTGGACTCCATACCATCTAAAGTGAGTTTGTTGTCCAGAATTTGTGACAAAAACATGGAAGGATAACAGCTGATGCTGAGCTAAACATGTACAAGCCATCTCCAGGGGCTGAGGATGCCCTTCCCACAGGGCAAGTCTCTACAGATGCAACGTGCCTGCTCTCCTCAAGCACTGTGGTGTGATGTTGCATCATAACCCCAGCTGAGAGCTGCTCACCATAAGATCCTAATCTACTGAAGGACTTAAAATACAGCTTTTTTATGTCAACCATGTAATTACAGTCCCTGGAACTGCTCATCTACTCTGTACATACAAAACATGAATGCTTTGTTTGACAGGTTGCACTGGTTCAAAAACCAGGTGGTCAGCCCTGGTAATAACTACTAATCCTCATCTGATTTTTTGATGGACTAATTGCTGAAAATTGATGTCCAGAAAATGTGGTTGTGCTTAAATAAAAGCATTCTGTGTGAATGTTATCGTCTTTCTGATCCTCATCTAAAATACTTCAAAACTGAAACAAAGATTTTGATTCATCTTATTTTTTGAACTTCAATCAAGCTGTATATTTTGGCTTGTTTAACTTATGATTTCTTGTTTCTTTCTCAATTTGCAAGTAATTTTAAAACTTAATCTACAACTTCATAATGAATCTTCTAATATGCTTTTTATTTCTGATATATACATGGATGCTAAATTTTCTGAATAGATTCCACATTTCCTGAACAACTGCAGTAATATTATATTAAATTTGTTAGAGCTTGCATACCTCCTCTACAAGGCCTTTCTTCCAAAATCCAAGAGTGCCCAAAGCTCACTGCATCTTTAGCTATGTATCCGTTTGGCATCCGATATTCCTGCTCACGTTCTGCATCATATTTTCCACACAGTCCACACATTTTCCCTGCCATCCATAAAGCAACTTGGATCTTGGAGGAAAAAGAAGCAAGAAGTATTTCAAGTTTAAAAAAAAAAGGTAATATTTGTGGAGCACATTTTTGCTATGCAGGTCCCTTCCAGTGTAAGTTAATGCACAAATATTTAAAATCTCCTTGATAAGAATTCAAAAGGGTCTGACAGATGCCAAACTCCCATGGGGCTGCAGAATCTATGACTGATACAGTCTCTACCAACGACTGTGCCAGTCCAGGATGTTAAGTTATTCATGCTCTATACTATTGCTACATGCTCCAGACTATTAATAGGCTGAAGCTTTCTTCTGGTGGTTGTTTTGGTAGTACAAGAGACAGACATGAAACAGTTTACCAGCCCCTTACATTCCAGCTCCATGTTAATTTCAGTGCAGACTTTAAGCCACTCATTCGTCTAACAAGAATGGCTGCATTTTTGCTGTTTTGAAGTATTATACAGCTGTAAGAGCAGTGTCAGGAGCTGAAAACTCATTTTTCTTGCAAAGGCAGTGCTGACTCAGCATGTGTACACTGACAGACTCACTTCCCAACAGACATCTGTACTGCAAGAACAGAATACTTTTCTTGATCAAAGATTCTCATTTCTCACACTCAGAAATAAAGAGCAGGACTTAATGAAGTGCAATCCTGTAGCATCATCTTCCCTTTGGGGCTTTTTGTGCCCTGCACATATTTGCCTTTGCCACTGTACACCCTTGCCCTCATACATACAGATTTAAGGGAATCCTATGGAAATTTCTTAACACCCAATATTAGGAAGGGGAAAAATGATACCCTGAATGTGTATCCATCAAAGTACAGTTTATCAATGCCATAGGCTGGGGCCAGGAGTACAAGCCCTTGATTTTCACTGTGGATCCACAGAGAAGCACCTAGAAGAGAAAAAAACAAAATAAAACCAGACCAAACCTAGTTTCTTTAAGAGAGAAAAAAAGCAACTGTCATGTTTCTAAAATGTTCTTTTCTTCAAAATTCCTCAGTTACCCCATTCAAGAAACAAAAATACAGAAGAAAGCAATGTAGAAATGGGCATACATAGAAAATGGGTGTTTGCAAAAGGATGGAAGAGAATGTTAATGGTCACAGACTTACTAATTTTTTGGGTGTTATTAACATAATCACATTTATGTCTATAAAGTGTTACTGAGCTGTCTATAGTATCTCTGTATTTGTGCAGATCAAGTCTCTGAGTGCACTGTATGGAATATGGAAATATGAGGAACACCATGGCTGCCACTGGAGCCATTTCTAGCAGAATTACCACTTCCCAAGAACATAACAAATAGAACAGAGCTCAGCACTGGTACATGCTAACCCAATTTCAGCAAGATTTAGCCCAATTCATATGTTGCAGCTCTTCAGTCAGAATACCCACACTGTATATAGCCCCTGACTACACAGCACAGGATGAAACAAAGTCTTCCTGTACTTTTCAGAGAATCTATTCCTGTTTTGGGAGAATCAAGCAGGTTGTTTCACCAGCTCTCCATACCTATCCCTGGCAGAATGCAAGCCAAATGTATACCTACAAATCAAATCAGGAAAAACATCATTATACAAGTCATGTGTAGTGGATTTTAGAAAAGCTCTACTTCAAAAAGTTTTAATCAAGCAAAATTTGATAGCATAACCAAAACCCTTCTCAAATTTGGAACTACAACAGGACCTGCAACGATGTACAAAAAGGTGGGCTCTTTATGTTAATTATATGTTGCTTATTTAGGCTACTTCAAGAGCTTCACACTCTAATCAATGTTTCTAAGTGCCCCTCTGCAAGTAAGTAAAGTACATATTCTTAAATATTACCTTAAAACCCAAGAAACACTGATTGAATACAAACTGGTCAAATCTCCTCCACAGATTCCCTCTTTCCTCCTTTCTCCCAAAACATATGTGAAAATTGAGCAGCAGAGGCTGCATGCCTTACCAGCAGATGTCAGTGACACATTTGTTGGGCTCTCAGCCCCATCCACCAGCAGCTTCACCCGTCCACTGGCAGGGCGCATGTCGATCTCACTGCAAGGACAAGAGAGCTCACACCCTGCCCGTGCCACCTTCACACACTCACAGTGACAGAGGCATTTTCCTGCTCGCTAAATATCACTGCTCAGAGCACAAGCTCATTTCAAACCCTTAAATTACATCAGGGGTACTCTTGTCACCTAAGACGCAGGAGAAGAGCACCAGTGTCACATTCAATATGCATGGAAAATAAACAAGGGGAGTGCTGAAAGCTCACGGGCTGCTAGCCATTGCAGGAAAGCTCAGATTGGAGCTCCTCTCATGCTAAATGTGGGCAATGAGGTCCCTCATGCTCCCAGCATCTGGCAGAAGTTACTTACTGATTGCCAAGCTTGATGTTGATTGCTTTCAGGTTCACAGCTTCTTCTGCATTCTTCATCATCACCAGGAACTTAAGGTCAGAGCTGCAGTCCTGAGCCAAGATGTGGTAGCAGTTTGCTGGCATTGTGTAGTTAAACCGAACTTCATTAAAAGTTGTGACCTTGTTGTAGGAAACTGAGCATTGAGCTGGTTTTAAAAAAAAATGCCAGTGAGTTTTTTCTTCTTCATGAGAGAAAGCTGTTAAGTTGTATGGTTTGTTTTTATTGCCATATTATTTTAGCTTTGTATTTTTTTCATTATGTGATATTTTGGTTCACAGGGATTTTTGGCTAGTAAGCACCCATAAATTCTTTAAAAGGCATATGAAATGTGTTTGTCTATCTAACAAAAAATAATTAACAGAAATTTAAAATTTTATCAATTCAGATAATTGGTATCTTGATCCCTGAAATGCTGATGATTTCTGTTCTACATGAACAGTATTTTCTCCCAGTTGAACCATCCTTATATTATTGCATAACATTTCCTAATTAACTGGAGATAAACAATGGCAGCAAAATTTACAAGGTGTCCAAATAAATTGTGAGACTGAAGTTGTCATGCTTCTGAACCCAGTTAGATCTGACCTTTCAAATTCTCAAGCACTGCAGAAGGGGCTTCAGCAAAGACATTCCAGGTGGGAGGCTGCACCTCTGACGTTGATATCTTTGGACCTACAGGAAGTGACAGGGGAAGCCTCATGGCTTTTTCATAGAGGGTAATCTGAAAAGGAATTCAAAAGCACATTCAAAATGCACCTGTGCCAGCAAACAGCTAGGATTTTTTTCCTATTTCTTCTACTTCCATTGCAAAGTTTTTATGTCAACATAACTCATCTGACTCATTGTCCATGAGGTTTTTGCTTTTGCTCAGTTTTCTCTCATGGTGTGAGAGAAGTCATTCAGGTATTGTTTGGGAGAGAATGAATTACTCCCTTTCAAAGGTGATGAGATGAACACTTGTGGAGATATTGCAGATGGAAACTCCTGTCATTATGAGTACCCACGTCTCTCTCCATTAAAAGAATCACTATGTAGGCATCCTTCTATGAAATATTACAATGATGGAAATATATAAAAGTAATTTTCATCATTTGCACCCAGACTGATGCTAACTTAATTTTTCTTTCTCAGAATTGACCCACTGCAATTAAACAGTTACATTTTTCTACTACGAATAAAATAGAAGAATGATAAAAATATTTCATAATTACATCAGGAAGCTTGACAACAACATCACATGTCCTTGGAGAAGTTAGAGCCACGATCACCCTGGCTTGTCGAGAAGGATTCTTCTCTGTTTTTTCAGAGAACCCCAGCATAAATGCAGCCCCAGGGACAAACTTGTAAAACCTTCAAAAGTTCAAATCAGAAAGATTTAGTGAGATGGAGGCAAAAAAGGCTGCACACATCCCAGCTAGATTGTCTCACACCTGTGTGTAAGTAGCATAATAATCTTCAGGACCCCTGGTTATGTCCTCACACTCACTCTCTGCTCTACTGTTCAAGTGTTCAGTGAAAGGAAGGATCTGTTCCTCAGTTTTCAGTAATTATGGCAAATATCAAGAGTTACTGTACATTAAAACAAGATGTAATCCCACTCAGCTTTTATGTCCAAAGGCAGTACTTGGACAGATCAGGGAATAAGGTATCAGCCAGTATTTTAGCCACTAGAACCTTGTGTGCAGATTTTTCCCAGTTGACCAGCATTGTTAACAAGTGTCACTGAAGACTCAATTCTCACCATTCTGCTACAGATCTGACACTGGAAGGAACTTTAGGCCACTCCAGTTTCACTTGTACAGCAGGGTGGGCAGCAAACTGCCCAGTTACCAGCTCAGATGAAACCTTGTAGTCCTGGCAATTGCGTCCCCATTTCAGGTAGGCCTGTGATGGAGGGACAATGGTCCATTTTTAGAGTCTGGAGCATTCTTGTGATGCATACAGAGCTATACAAGCCAGTTTTCAGCCTTACCTTTGCCTTGTGAGCATTGTGGACTGAAGCATCAGCACAGAGCTTCCACTTGCTTGAATCTGTGAGGTTTGACACAAACACCTGCATCCGGGGCCTGATGGAGTCAATATCAGCATACACCACGAGCTGGAGGCCTCCTACCTTCTTATCATCACGGATGCCATGCAGGAAAACTGCTAATACTGGTGTTTTAACATCTCCCAAAAACTTCGGCTAAGAGGAAGGGGGAGAAGGTATGCAAAACATATAATTATAGAAGAGTTACCATGGAACATTTTAGATGCAAGATCTAGATGGAGAAATGAAAAAATAAACAACCGAACCACAAATATATAGCAGCATATGTATGGCACATATATACATGCCTATAAAACCTCATGCATATGTGTTTAATGTGCACGTGCCTCTGCATGCCAGATGGCTTTTATCACTGTTTTTGTGAGCCAAAATTTGTGCCATTTCCTGAGCTACAGCTGATACCATGGAAATACTCACATAATTAAAACACAGTAATGACTATATGATTTGGGCTTCATTGTTAGTACCCAGCCTGTGAATAAAAGAAAGTGGCTCAGTTTGAACATCAGCTGTCAGTTTATGCGTCACTCGTTCCCACAGCAGAAACATCCCCCAGCTCATCTCCTCCTGTTTATCTGTCTGGGTCTTGTACTGGCTTTCTCCTCACACTTTAGCTGTGAGTTCTGTGGGCCAGTCAGGTTTTGTGTTTGCACAGCAACTCAGCACAGAATATAATCCAGGACATTTTCTCCAACATCAAGAACCCCTTCCCTTAAGTGCATCATGCCATTCAATATCTTCACTCCATCATTCTCAAGCCTGCACTCATCTGCTGGGTGGTGAGGAGCCCAGGTGCTCCATGCCCTCTCTGGAACATGACTTTTGCTACCACCAATGTCTTCACACTGGCACTGCAGCACCTCAGTCTCCCTCCTGGCTGCAGAGTCACAAAATGAGTCTCTGCAGGCATCTGTTGGGTGGGATTTCCATGAGGGAATGGTTGTGATGCAAGTAAGAAGGATCCTCACTGCTGAGGAAAGTGCATGTGGGAACTATGGTGCATTGTCTTGACTGATACCTGAGACTCAAGAGGTTGGCATTTCTCCCTTCCCATGATTATTATAATTATTTTTATATACAATTAATGTCAGTGCACAGCCACTCTGACATTACTCCAAGCTGTCAAAACCCCCTGAAAATGATGCAACTAACCCATGAAGCTCGAGATGTGGCATGACTGGATCTAGCAGAGGAATGTGAGCTGCTGATTTGGTCATCTGCGAGTTTTCTTTTTGGGAACTGAAAAAAAAAAAAAAAATAAAACCACAATAGCCTTAAGAGGGTAACTTTAAAGCATGCTTGAAGAAATTGCATGAGGCAGTAATGAACAATACTCTCTCTCATGGGACTTGGCTTTGTCCTGCTTACTACGTAGGATCCAAGTCTGAAAAGTCTTGTTTCCCCAAACATATTTGACTCTTCAGAGTCCATGAGGACCATACCTAGATGAGAACTCCCAGTGGACCAAAGCAAGTCAGATTTAATTAGCTTCTCACTTCAATATGAAATACCAGAAATTCTGCACAGGCCTGATGAACTGGAAGCTGAACTGAACAGACCAACTGAATGGAAAGGAGCATCTGAGTGGACATACACTGCTCAAATGTTACTTTTTGAGTATCAAACACTGCTCTGGCTGGCCCATACCCTAGTAAGAATCTGCTCAACCAAAATAAGGAATAAAATAAAGAATCTTCCAACATTTGTCCACATCCTTATGTACAAACACAAGAAACCAGGTGATCAAAGCAAATCAAATGAATTGAGCTTCTGATGGTTCCTCCAAAGTGTGCAGCTCCAGTCTGTTTTATTGCTTTGGAAGAGTCTTTGCAGTTCCTTTGCAGAGCCACAAGTGGCTTCATGTGCACAGCACAAAAGGCAACACAGCTCTTTGTCTTTACCCATCTCAGAAGAACCACCATGGTTCTAATGTTATCAGTACTATAATTTTCCTCAACAAAGAGAACAAGTTGCCATTAAAGTCTCCATTTGACTCTTGACAGATTCCATACTTCTTTTAGTGAGGAAAGAAAAACTCACCTCTTGTTTGCGTGCTGATTTAAAGCGGTACTGATAAATCTCATGAGCTTCCTTTGAAAATGACAAAAACAAGAAGATTAGACATCTCAGAAGAAAAGAAATGCTGCAATTATATGAAAATCTAAGAACTGGAAATTAAATAAGAAATTTACTGATTATCATTCATACATATGTCTGCATGCTTAGTCACAAGAACATAATGCAAGATCAATTCATTTATATAAAGCATTAATGTTTCTACCACAAAATTAAGACAGAAATATGCCATATTTATGGACAACATATTGTCAATAAAACCTATTTCCTGACAGTAACAAAATTTTCAACAAACTTGTGAAAACTTTTGGGATGAAGCAGACATCTGTGCCAATGATTGCAGGTGTGTTTGTAGAATAAACATTTCAATTTTATGTTGCTAAAACCTACTGGTCAACTCCTAATGTCCTTATTTGTCATGCAAAGCCAGCCGCCATCAGGAGTGTGATTAGTAGCATCAGTCAATTTACTGACAAAAATTACCCATATTTTGGAATATGCACTGCTGCTGCCACCTTCCAGATGTTTGGAATGATGTTCATGGCTATGGTGGCTCAGTGACTCGCTGCTGCTGCTGCTGCTGTCATTCACATGCCTTGAGTGATGCCCATGACTATGATGGCTTGATGACTTGCTGCTGCTGCTACTGCTGCTTTTGCTGCTGCTACTGCTGCTTTTGCTGCTGCTACTGCTCTTACTACTGCTGTCACTGCTGCTGCTGCTGCTACTGCTCTTGCTACTTCTGCTGCTACTGCTCTTGCTACTGCTGCTGCTACTGCTGCTGCTCTTGCTACTTCTGTCACTGCTGCTGCTGCTGCTCTTGCTACTTCTGCTGCTGCTGCTCTTGCTACTGCTGCTGCTACTACTACTGCTCTTGCTACTGCTGCTACTACTACTACTGCTCTTGCTACTGCTGCTCTTGCTACTTCTGTCACTGCTGCTACTGCTACTGCTCTTGCTACTTCTGTCACTGCTACTACTGCTACTGCTCTTGCTGCTTCTGCTGCTACTGCTGCTACTCTTGCTGCTTTTACCACTGCTGCTGCTGCTGCTCTTGCTGCCTTTACCACTGCTACTGCTCTTGCTACTTCTGTCACTGCTGCTGCTGCTACTCTTGCTGCTCCTGCCACTACTGCTGCTGCTCTTGCTGCTTGCATCTTTTTTTCTGGCTTGGTCTTCGTCCTTATTCTCATCTTCATCACCAGCCTCTTTACGACGAGGAGATACAGCAGATGATGAGGAAGAGGAGACAGCTGAGGAGGCAGAAGATGAGCTGGAGGGATGTTTTCTATCGGGGTCTGCCCCAAGCTCTGTAAGCACAGTATTTTCTTTCTTTGAAGGTTGCTTCTTCTGGTGTCGTGTTTTATTTGCGATCTGCAAACACAGTACAAGAGGTAAAAAAGAGAGAATACATCTGGTCCTGTTTTTACAAAGTAAAACTTCTGTGGGTGTCAGACAAAGCTGGGTTCTCACACCAGCTTTTCAAGGAAAAACCACCTCCCTGCCTCTCTCACAGCAGAAGCTGCAGAATTCCCTCAGATCCACTCCATCCAGCTGAAATCCAGCCCAGCCCACCTTGCTGGATGCACCCCAAAGGAGCAATACCTCAGCATGGGGCACTGGCACCTTTCAAAACAGCCCCAGCCTTTATCTGCCACGCCAGCTTTCCACACTGCACTTCTAATTCTTGCCCTCATTTAGGGGAAAATGTTCCCCACTGCCATACTCAAAGTCACTTGCCTTGAAGACACTTTCAATGCCTAGAATCTTCTTCAGTTTAGCTTGAATGTCCTCATACAGAGTTGATTCACCCTCTTCCTCCGACTCTGAGTTTACTTCATTAATTATTTTGGAAGCTGCTTTGGATCCTGCCTGAATCTCCAGCTGGATTTTGTCAAGATCAGCATCTGTTTCAACTACACACCAATTGCACACATTACAAAGTTATACTGCTTCAAATAGCACTGACGAGCCTAAGATGCTCAGTATTTTTTTACCTGGGATCAAGACAATTTTAGCTTCGTGTTCTCCAATGAGCCTGTGCAAATAGGTGTTTTTCAGGAAGCTGGCATCTCGCGACCTTCTGGAAAAGCAGAGCTGACAGCCAAGGTGCTGCAGCTTGACACAAATGTCTCGTTTATGAGCTTTTTTTGCCGTGACATGGCGAAGATCCTCTTGAGAGCTGTAGGCATGTTTCCTTGACGTGCTGTCAGCTTCCGGCTGCGTTAGAGATCAGGATGTGAATACCACTGGGAGTGTGTCACAGGCAAGAGTGAAACTACAGACATCCATTGCAGAGTGGGTAAATATTACTACATAAGCCAAAAAAATAGGTTACCTTTGTGAAATCTTCACTGGAAGCTCTACCTGATGGTTTGAAAGGTTCTTCGACAATATTTGATGAAGCATCTCCTGGGAGAATTGGAGTTCTCTTTTCAACACCTAGCTCTCCTAAATTCCTTGATACAGCAAAAGCCTTATGTCTGTTAAGAGATATGCAAAAAACAGTGAGTTATTCCAACCCCTTGTCTTTGGATTAATATATCCTTGTAAGTATCATGTGACAGCACAGAGGTAAGATATTTGAACACAGGGATTAGATAAGAATTTAGAACTATAAATATTATTGAAAACAAAAAAAGAGTTCATGGCAAATATAATTTTCTTATCTTGCAGGAAGTTTTCAAAGTCTGGATAAATTTCAACAAAATTTCCAAAACATCAAAAATATTCCTCGAAACACGTAAATCAAAATCTTAAAGATAATAAAATAATAAAAAATAAGAAGAACACAAAATAATAAACAATTTAATATAAAATTACTCTGTTAAACAATTCAGGTATCTTCTGATTTTTACTTACTGTATTTTTCTTCTTTGTGCTTTATCCTAAAGGTTCTGCTACACACTGAAGAGTCACTCTGCCTATTTTAAGACCTCTGTGGGAGGTCATTTAATAGTGAACTTTATCAGGCTTCAGCAACACAAAATATTCTGAAATAATGCTACTGTACCTTCCAACCACTATCTCAGTTTCCTCACGGCATGGATTTGTTTCAATCTTAATATTTTTCTGCTTCAGGTCTATCTTGGCTTCAAACTTTATTGGCACTCTTGTCAGGACCTTGCCTTGAATTTCCACAGCTTGTTGGAAGTATTCTGTGTTGACACCCATTGTTGCAAATTTCTGTATGTATAAGCTGAAACAGAGGGCAGCAGTCAGGTGCAAGAAAGTTGCTCTTTTCACTCATGTGGTTCTGCCTTCCCTTAAAAACCTCCTTCATATGGAAAGACTTAGAAACCTGTCATACCTGGGGTTTATGTCAGAACGAATCTGCACAGTGGATTCGAGCAACTGTGAAGGTCTAAAATCTCCAGGTAAAGGGGGAGCTATCTTTCCATCAACTGAAATGCAAGAATAATATTTAAACATTGTAAAAATGAAAGAAATTAATTGAACACAAGTAGTTTTCAGTAGGAGGTAGTGTTTTGTTAGTGCAGCAAATAGGGCTGGAAAACAAGAGAGACTTTGCGGTACATGAGACCTTACATGATTCTGAAGAATACTGAAAATATGGAGGAAGCTTGTTATGTAGGTGAAGGTTCTGATGCAACATATTGAAAATGGAAATAAAAATATACAAAGAAAATGAAGAGCTGACCCAAATTGAAAATTTGATAATTAGTGTAACATTAAAATTTCAGAAACATGGGGAGTCAGAAGACAGAGTGAATGCAGAGAACAAGGCTAAACAACCTCTGCTGTCCAATCTTTCCTCACATCAAGCATGAACATCTTGTACTGTGGACCCAAAACTGAACAGATAGTCCAGATATAGCTGTAAATGTGCTAAATAGAGAAGGAAATCATTGTCACACTGGCTCTGCTCTTGTATGTGCAGCCCTTGACACAGCTGGCCTTCATCACCACATGAGCACACTGCTGATTTATTGTACCAGGTTGTCCTGCCCTTCCTGCATAACTGCTCTCTATCTGGGTGATGCCCAGCCTATACACTTGCATGGGTTACTCCACTCCAGGTGAAGCACTTTGCATTGCCCGTGTCAAATTTCACTCCACTTCTGTCAGGCCATCCTCCCCAGCCTGCTAAGATGTCTGTCAGTGACAGCCTGACCCCCCCAGTGCAGCAACTGCTCCCACCAACTCAATGTTAACATCAACACAGAAATCCTGAGGGTGCCTTCTTTTACAAAGTTCAAATTTTAAAAGAAGACAATGAACAAGTACCAATGGCAGAGAAAGGTTTCTCCTAACACATCACCAATTATATTTTCAGCTGTTGACTACCCCTGGAGACCAGCAGTCCAGACAACATTCACTCATTTTGCAGCCCATCCATCCAATCCATACCTCCCCAACTTGGCTATAAGGTTGTTATTAAAAAACAAACAAACGAACACACAGAAGACACACAGAAGGGACAGAGCTGCCAAGATGTTACTAAAGCAAACTAACAAAACAAAAACCAGCAAAGAGTGGGTATGTGGGAGAACACAAGCACAAGTTCATCACCCTTCATTGCTTACATGGTGTCAGCAGATATTACAGTCAGTCTTGCCTAATTTAAGTCTTCTGCACAGCTCACAGTGTGATCACTGAATTAACTTCTTGATGAGGATTAGCGCTTGCATATTTATTTTTTTTAAGGAGAACTCCAGTCTCTTTTCAAAGGCCCTATTCTCTTCCTCCTTCTTAATGTTCCTAACAGTGCTCTTTTGTTTGTTTTGTATTTTCCTCTCTTTTTAAATCAACATTGAATCCTCCTTAGCTTGTGTGTGCACCTCTCAGGAACCCCCCGCTCTACCCACATCTGCATCAGCTCCCCAGGCAGCTCTTGTGGGTTTTTTGGCCTTGAATGTTGTGGCTTCTCTCACTCTGGTTTCCCAGGCTCTCATCTCACCACTTCTAACTTCAATCCATTCAAAGACAATGCACAAAACAGCGCATCCAGCTTCTCCTCAGACATTTTCACTGCCTCACTCTCCAGTTCCAAAGCTAGTTATTTTTCTAACCTCCTGGCTCCCCACTCCTTTCTCCAGCCTCCCTGAGCCCTGTCCCTGCCCTCCCTGCAGGCAGCCTGCCCAGGTGCTCTGAGCTCCCAGCTCACCGCTGAGTGCGGCGCGGGCCAGGGCGGTGCTGTAGGAGCTGTACTCCAGGGGCAGCCCGGTGCAGGAGGGGACGATGTAGCGCAGCTCTCCCAGCCACAGCGGCTGTGTCCAGTGCGCCGCGGTGCCGCTGCGCAGCTGCCCGGCCAGCTTCTTCAGCACCGCGCTCCTGTCGGCCGGCTCCAGGACAGCCTGCAAGAAACAGGGATCCAGCGGGTTGGGATGGGAAGGGTAGAGCTGTCCAGTATTGCAAAGAAAGTAGGTAGGGCCCTACCTTCACAGCCTGTTGTAGGACTTCCTTATTGACATTGATGTAGGCCAGCTCTTGGCCAAAGAGTTTAAAGTAGGCTGAGATCAAGGGGGTTTCTGTTGGCAGCTCCTTCCATCCCAGCAGCTGGGTAACAGATAAAGAAACAAGAAAAGTTTCTTAATGGAACACTTCATAAATGATAATTCATCCTAAACCACCCATAACTAAACCCATCACTGGCCAAGCTGCCCTTTTCCTTTGTAAGATTTCCAACTGTAGATAGCATGGTGGCACTAATTCAGGCTTTCTTCCACCATTGAGATGCCCACAAATGTTTGGTATCCCAATACAATAACATTCATACACAGGGTCTGAGTCATTAGTACCACTAAACCCAATTCAAAAGTACTGCAAAAAAAAAAAAGTCTTTTCTCTTGGAGACAAAGGCATATTCTTGTAAACTAAGTGAGGTAGATGAAGGGAGGGAGTAGGAAGCCTGCCAGGCATGTGTGCACTATGCTGCAGTGCCTGCTACTCCCTTCCCTCCTGTGCTCCTCCTGCAGCCGTCTCTGAGGTGGGGAGGAGGCAGAGCCAGAGCAAAAACTGGTAGGAGCTATTGCAGCCAAGGCAGATGTCTCCTGCAGTCCCCACTGCACACCTCTCCTTCACAGAAATACTTGACCTGACTCCTTTAACCTCCTGACACAGGGCTTAGCTAGAGTGAGAAGCATCACCAATGCCCCTTCACATAACTCACACGTTATATTACTGAAAATACCTACAGCTTTTCCAATCTCCTTTATCTTTTTGTATGTGGAATATTCAGCAAATGGGATATTTCGTTTCACGATGACATCTGTGAGCCCTTCCACGCGGACACCAGCCTACCAAAACAGCACGAGAAGGAGCAGTCTGAAACATGCTTAGAGAGGAAACTTTGTGAGCAGTTTTAATTTTAATTTGATTTGTTATTGACTTAGGTAAATATTTACCTCCACCAAATCAGCCACTGACCCTGCAGAATATGCCATCAGCTTGGAAATTATTGCTGATGGGAACATCGTTCCTGGGCTGTTTATAATGAGGACATCTCCAGCAGCACCAACTTTATAGTTTTCTATGGCAGAAGAAAACAAGAGACATCTTTTTTCTAACCATTCTGTTTACCATTCAAGATGATATTTCTGCAGCTTTTTCCACTGCCAACTTTAAGATATATTATCGCATGAACTCTAACTGTTTAGGCAGAAATTATTGAATTACTACTCTAAACATATGAGTCTCACATTTAATTTAATTTCTCACTGAAACAAAGAATGCCATATTTCTCCATAGGACGAAATATTTTAAGAATAGATTTCTGAAGTGAAAGTTTCCTGGTCACTGAAGCACTTACTCACCGAAGTAACCACCGATGCGTATGACCTTGCTGTAGCGATAGCTCAGCCTGTCCAATTTGGGGGCCAGCAGCTTAAGGGCAATATTGCAAGCTGAAGATCTAAACAAAATGAGAAAGGTAATAGCATCCAGAAACAAGCTCCTGTCAGTAAATAAACAGACTTCAGCTGTCAGCACCTGCAGAAGACCATCATTTGCTGAAGAACGCCTGCTTTGTTCCTGTCGCTACTCACATGTTGTATGTGTATGGCAACCTGCTCTTGGACAAAGCCTTCATGTGGGAATACACAAAACTGGCCACTTGCAAATTGCTCTCCTTCATGGCCACGTTGGCAATGGTTGTTATCAAGGGAAGGGCAGGCCTTGTCTCAAAGATAACAGCACAAGCCATCATCCGCACTTCGGGGGAAAGCGACTCGTCAGCGAGGATCTGGATGAGATATCCCTGCACCTGCAGAGGCAAAAGAGGGTCTGGAATTACCAATAACTGAAACCATTTGGCAAACTGGATCCACACCTAACCCACAGAAAATATGGGAGAGGGGATCATTATCCCTGCAGAAAGGTTTCCTGATCTTTTTTACTGCAGAGTTCCACATAACTTAATAAAATAACTGAAGGGGCCGTGGTGGAACAGCCCCATGAAACCACTGAAACTGAAATAAATGTGCATCTATCAATGTATTGAGTCAACCCATGACAATCCAAAGGCATCAGCATTGCTTTGTGACATTCAAATATCAGTGAACATCTTTGGAAGAAAAAAAATGTAGATAATAAGATTCATTGTTTGAAGTAACTCCACAGACTCAGTGAGCATGCTTCACTACTTAAAACCAGTTTTAAAGGGTTCTGCAGTTCATCAAAGACAGTCTGAGTGAATGATTTCTCATATAGTTCCTATATCTAAACCATCTGAAAGTCTTGCCTATGCTTTCTGTGACAGCAACCTCAGTGTGGGGTCAGTGATGGCTCACCCAGCCTCAAGGGAAGGGTCTAAAAGAGGCAAAGCAATGCTGACATTTGGCCTAGGAGTTTAACAGAAAGTCTCTCCTCCTGATTAGAGAGACAATTTAAATTATATGTCTGACTTTTAGGAGGCTAAGTGTCCATTATCTGTAACTAGCACAGGACTTAGTTGGTTATGACAGGTGATAAAATCAACACTACTGATATCCTTCTGGAAGATTCTCACTGACTAATTATCACTACAACTTAGCAGAAAACATCAGCTGAATGTAAAACTGTATAGTATTGTTCTTAAAAATAATCTTTTTTTGAAAAAATGGAATCCATACACGATACCATTAAAATAATTATGCTAATGGTACATATTCTAATTCATTAAGTAAAGAAAATCTACCAGATCCTACATACTGTTTTGCAGTCCTTCCAAGCAATTTTTCTCAAGGCCATTATGGCATCAATCTGAATGTGGATGGGGATATCAGAAGCACTGGATGAAAATATGGGAAGGAACTTGAGGATGCGCTTGATGCTGGCTGGTTCTCCCATGTTGCCAATGCACTTCAGAGCTAATTTCATTTTGTCCTCACGGCCCCTGCTGATTGCTTCATCTGCCAGGTCATGGATGGGCTGTAAACAAAGCACAGTTCAATCTTCTCACTCTAATCTATAGACTGTCCACAGTGTCCCCCTTACCCAATGAAAAGCCTACCACAATAAAGCAACTGTCTTTGATAAAAATCACTTAATCGTGGTTTCTCTCAGGATTTTACCCTTGCAATGTGAAAACTGTGTTTTCAATGATGAAGCAAATTACTACATTGACAAAATTATTTGATGCCTTTTTTCTGAGGAAAACCTACAAAATGTGTGTTTATATTTCCAGTCACCCTTTTTATATTGTATCTTAAAAGAATTAAGCTAATATAAGGAACAATACTAAGCTATTAAAAAATAAAAAATCTTGGCAAAAAGCCACCTACCTGGAGAGCTTCTTTAGGACAAGCTGAAGTCTGAGAACAGTATCTATTCACCACAGAACTGTATCCCAAGCTGGCAAGTTGTTGAAGCACAGGATTTTTCTGGATTCGAGAACTTGTCACTAAATCCTGTTAAGAAGAAAAAAATTAATTTGTCATTTAATACAGTGCTTCACAAAACTTTCAGAGCAGGAAAACCATCAGCTCTTATTTTAAGGGATCAGCTTCAGAATGATTACTGTTCTCATCCAAACAAATCAGAGTAGGTTGTAGACATTATATTTGGAAGCTTTACTTAGGAGCTTAATTCCCCACTAGTTTATACACATATAAGGTTACATAGCTACATTTTGGTATTCATCAACTGAACCCTGAAAACATTAAGATTACGGATAAACATTAATGTGTAAATGGAATGCCTCTAGGAAAATGTGCAACTCTGTTATACTGATGATGCATTTTCACATAATTTCTGCTTTTCCTGTTTAAAAATATTGGCTAGAGATGGCAAAAATCCTGTTCAGAATAAATGGTTCATTATTGTGTCAACACATTTGATGTTGCACTAATACTTTTCCTGCAGCATTTTCCACTTCATGGACTAGTTTGCAATTAAAAGAGCTGCTCAAATGACATAACATCAATCGTTTGTTTCAGAAGTAAGAGATTAAAGGGACAAAGTTTTGCCATGTGAAGGCATGCCATGTGTGTTTGCTGGTAACTACAATGGGATTTATTCCCAGAAGCTCTTATAAGAAAAGGGCTTTACATCAATACAGTGAAATGAAGACATAGAACTATCCTCTAATAAGTGCTATGCCAAAACAAATTCACGGGTCAACACTTCCACAAAATTAGTGTACACAAGAGGAGAATCCATCCTCTAATGTACTTAATCACAGGTTTTTGATTGTCATTTCTTTCATTGTGAGACAGGAAAGATTCACATGGCTTTACTCACTGCTGCTATTGGAACAGTGTGTTCATCAGCTTTCGTTAGATGGAGAGCAAAGGGAACACTCAGAAGAGCCTGAAGGTAGCTAAGGTCATCACTGCGGATTCGGCTCTTAATGAATTTCAGAGCTTCTGCGGTGCCCGTCGCAGAGACTGCGCTCAGCAGCCATCGTCTGAAAACAGATTTTAAAAAATCCTTCATTTCAGCTCCTGGTTGTCACAAAACCAGAGGAGTTTCTTACAGGTTGATACAATGAAATACCTGTAGCGGGGTTTATCTGAACATTGCCTCCAGATGGACTCCAGGGTGTCAGCGCTTGCCGTGCGGCAGAGCTGGACGAGCTCCAGGAAACGGTATGGAAGATCATCATGGAAATCTTGCTGGTTGTTCAGGACTATGTGTTGCAGTGTTTCAATTATCTGTTACAAAACACAAGACAGAGGGCATGCAAAATTACAGTATTTGGAATTTGTGATCAGGTTGTTTTTTTTAAATTAGGAAAGCAATTTGGAAAAAGATACCCGTTGCTCAGGGTTTTTGGTCTTGATGAGCTGCACTGCCATCTGTGGCAGTACTGCTGGGAACTGGTAGCGAAGGCCTCCGTAGCTCTGCATGGAGATGTCTGGGGAGCTCCCCGATTCACTCTTCACCTCCAGCAAGGTGAGTTGTTGTCTGTCAAGAGACAAGAGTCACAGGAGAAAGGCATTATCTCTCTTCACCCATGTGCCAATTTTGTTTGCTTGTTCAGTGATACTGTGATGGTAACTGTCTTACTCTTTAAATTTTTCTCTTATGAAAAGAAAACTTTTTGCTGATGAATAAAGCCTTCTACCTAGAACAAAATAGCATTGGAGTTATTTACAATGAAATTGTTTCTGAGGAGAAGCAAAATTGCAGTCTGCTGAATGAGAGCTACCGACCTGGTGTAATGAATGGTCTTATTTCTACATACACTATCTTCCTCCTGACACTACAAATTAGCCCCTTTTCAGGACAAACAGAGCAGTAAAGTAGCATTCTTATGGTATAAGCAAACAAAACAGCTTTTCTCCTTTTCTTACATGTAATCATAATGCCAGATTGACCAGGGTACAAATAAAAAATGGTTTGCTGAACTTTTTGGACTGTGGAAACTCCAAGTGTGATTGCACACCTGCGTTCAGATGCTGTGGAGCTTAATTCTCACTTCACTTCAGCTGGGGGTGAAGGGAACTGATAGAACCTCTAATTACTCTCACTTTGTGAAGCAAGCCCACGTCCCACCTACTTTGCTTCCGTGACAGCGACGCCGGTGGGTTCACTGAAGGGTGAGATCTGATACACCTGCTGAGACACCACCTCTGTGATCAGGGTGCCACTGTCCGACTGCTTCAGCTTGTAGGAGAAAGCTGCAGTGCCCTTGATGATCCTCTCCTTCTGTAGGAGGACAGAGAGACCCAAAGAGTGAACAGATGGGAACACAGTGGCCATGTTTGGAATTAGGAACACCTTTTCACGTCTCACGTACCATTATGTCAACAGGGCAGGGATAGATGTAAGCCATTCCAAGACTTTTCACCACTTTTTCCTGGCAATTATTTTGGTCTACAGTTTTGGTAACAGAGACTCGGTTGTTCTTCTTGTCTTCCTGGATGACATACCTTGTATGGCAAACACCTCCAATCCCAGCCTGGCAGACGAATACAGAAAATGAGACCTCCAAGTTATATCAGGATTTCACTGTGTGAGAAGTTTTGCTTAATGGAAATTCTCAATGAATCTGTTACTATTACGTACAATCGTTCCTACTGAACTAAATAATAGGCACGTGAGCAATACTCAGTGAGGGGATGGAGTTTAAATTAAAAAGTAATCAATCAATACCAACAATTAGCAAATAAAATTGATCCAATAGCTGTATTATGGAAGCCATATAACAAATAAATTCATGGATAATAATTCTTTTTCTCCAAAGAACTGCATGTTAAGACTTAAAGACATATGTCTTAGAAAGAATTCAGCCCAGGTAATTTGTTGAACATGCATTTCTATATGTTGAACTTTTACTTCTATATTAATGAAAATCACCCTATTCTTACTACAAACACACAAAAGTAGATGCAAATAGACAGAAACCCAGAAGAAGACCAGCTAAAGAGAATAAACACATTATTTCAGCAAACTAGTTTTAAAATGGAAAGAAACATACCTCTTGCAATTCATACACATTCTGTGACTTCTTAATGGTTATCTGTATCAGGTTCAGTATTCCTCTCACTATGTTAATGCAAGTATCAGGGCAGTTTTCTGGGCCATAAATGTTTCCAACTCGTCCACTGCTGTATTCAAACTTGAAGGGCCGGGTAAGGCATGAGGAAACCATCTGGGTGATTTTGGAAGATCGAGTGAATGGGTCCTTGGGCCAGATGCCATTGTATTCCTCGAATTGTGGGGAGCGGATCTGGGAGGAAATCAAGATACTTAGGTGAATAAAACCCCTTTGGTACGAAGTATGCAAGCATATTGGAAGAAATTAATACATCCATTAGTGAGATACTCTTTTCTTCCAAATGTAGGCTTAGAAACTCATAGAGCAGTTTATTCTTTTGTCTTGTGCTTACACTATTGTTAAACCAGTGCAAATCCTGTTTGCTCGACAGTACTATTTTATCTTACAGAAGCAGTTAACATATCAAATAAAGTCTCCCTTTTTGTCAGCTTTAAAATAAATATTCTGCTTTAGATTTAGCATTTTAAAAGCTTATACCATTCTAAATGTAAAAAAAAAGTGCAGTTTTAGAATGTTTCATTTCAAGTTATTTCTGTACAACTTTTTTGGGCTAAACTAATTATTATATTTGCTTCATATTTGTCACTTATTTAAATCAACAAAATATTTTAACAATGAACAATATATTTATAAACACAATGTAAATAAGAAGCAATTTCAATAACTCTGGCAAAGTTACTGCCAGTTTAGGTGCCTCAGAGCACAGGCTGGTGCACACCATACAAGAATTTCAGGACAAAGTCTATGATGTGAAACGCAATCCCTAGACCCCAATTTTGAAAGATCTACAGTTCAATACAACTGGTGACAGCTGTCACTGAATTCAGTATTCCAAAAAGAAGCTCTGATTTGTAACTGAATTAAAGGGGTAAAAGTACATTTCTGAAGCATGTTCATTTTGAATTGAGTCAGGTTATCACTGCTGACATCAGCAGAGGCATGATTTCACACGTACAGATCTTTTACTACATGATTCAAACACTAAACATTATTACATACTCCTTTTTTATGACTTTCACTTTTTAATCTTACCTTTATCGTGTATCACTTTTTATTGTTAGCTTTTATCACTTTTTAAATCCATTTTTTTAGTTGCCTTTATGATAATGATTTTATACACAAGTCCTGGCTTCCCATAAGAATTAGAAATGTGTGCTAAGACTAGAATCAAATCTTAGAGCAGGTTTAAATGTCTTTAGTTAATTTTCCATTTTCTAGCAAGCCCCCAGCAATTGTATTTCCAATAGGAAGTCTTGAGGAACAGCTGCTACAAACAACTTCCACAACAAGCACAGGTAAGTGACTCATCGCCTCTGAAACAGCAGCTTGCCACTCACTCTCTGATACCTGCAGTGATAAGCCTCCAGTTGTGTTTCCTGCAGCTTTGCTACACCCCACATCAGCCAGATGCAATGGAAACTGTGATCTTATCTCTCTGTTGCACATTTAGGAGGTGCAGTACCTTGAGGAGGTAGGTGTTCTCCGACAGCCCGCTGATCTCTAGTTTGCAGCTCAGGCGCACGCCGGCTTTGGCCAAATTCTTTTCTTGAAGCCCATTCAACACCCAGCCTTCATAACTGTACAAGTAGCTCTTTTTGCTACTGAATCCAGGGTCTGAGGGAAATAAGCCATTTTCAAAATACTTGTAAGCACATTCTAATAAATAGAAATAACAGCAAATTCACCAAGGACAGGTTACAGAAGGAAATTTACTTACCAATGTCAAACTTTTGACTACCTACAAAAAGAGATGAAAAAACAGGTAAGTAATGTTCAATCTAGATCCAATCACTGCTACTGAACTGAAGGAAAATTTGGAAAAGAAATGTGAAGGAGGAATATGTAGCCTTACCTACAAGGGTGAGCACTAGTGCAAGTATGATCCCCCTCATAGTGAAGGTGAATGGGGCTGTGCCAGACATGGTGGGACTTTTATGGAAGAAAGCTCAGGAACACGTGGCTGTGTTCTGCTGAATTCTCAAGTTTTTTATCAGTTAATGTAAACACTTCCCTTTTTGCAATCATACTTTCTCTTCAGATGGAGTAACAGAAATCAAGTCATACCTTGGCATCTCACTGATTATCTCACAAGCCCTTTGCTGAATTGTTTAAAAGTTTCAACTTACCCTAATAAGTTTTTACTAGATCGCTTACAATAATTTTACAATAAACACATTACTTAATTTCCTAGGTTGTGTCACAGTTGGCTGATGATATTTGGTCCTGCCATAGATTAGGTTGATTTTGCCCAGGTTATGCTGACCTGGCACCTGACCCAAACTGTTATCTAGCTGATAGCAGCCCAATTAGCAGAGTCACTATCACACACTGACAGTGTTCCCCCTCTTCCCTCAGCACTGGTTCCAGCTGCCCCTGAAGGCAGCAGACAAAGACAGATATCCCCTTGCTATTATATTCCATGTGCACCAAAGCCCATTTAACAACCTAATGAAAACCTGTATATATGGCATATATGTATTTATTCAAATAAATCAGAGGATCAGTGTGTCCTTTCATCTCTGGTCACAATGACCAGGAATATTTTTTAAATGACCAAAGATTTCATAAGCCATCAGTAAATATTTTATCTTTCAAGGTAAATGACAGCCAAATCTGAACAATTAGAAGCCACAGAGACTCCTCCCAGCAAGGCAGGGGGAATGGGAGTGCAGGTCAGCTAGAACTTTTGCATTTCCTAAGGAGTCAATCCCAAAATGCAGCTGAATTACTTGAACAGATGTGGGCTTGCAGCCAGCTTCACCATGGATGTACAGTGGTGAGAGCCCAGGCACACATTCACACTGGTGCTCTCTTCTAGAAACCTCAGGGCCCTGGAGGCAAGTGGAGATGCACAAAACACACTTGGCCTGTCTGAGTATGGTGAGGGACTGGGGAATTGACCAGACCTGTTCCTCCCACAAGTGACAGTCTTCCAAAATGAGCTGGGTGGCATCTGGATCAGCAATAAAAGGCATTGAGTATGGTGAGGGACTGGGGGATTGACCAGACCCGTTCCTCCCACAAGTGACACAGTCTTCCAAAATGAGCTGGGTGGCATCTGGATCAGCAATAAAAGGCAAGAAAAATGCAAGGTGCTTCTGAGTTGAAGAATGTTTCTGAAGGAGCAACTTAAAGCCTACAGTTTATTGTGTTGCCTGAAGTCACAATAAAGCCATGAATCCCATTCAAATTCAAAATATATGACATACTGGTTAATCAGACACTATTTCTACTCCCACTACTCCTATAGGTACATGATTAACCACAGGAGCGTGCTTTGTGGCAAATGCTGATTCAACACCCACAAATGAACATTTATTTTCTATCTCACAGTTTCTACAGTCTTCCATTATTAAGTGCTGTTCCTGGGTTGTCAGTCCCACAGGTCTTGACTTTTTCAGATGCCATGTGGACTGTAAATCCACCTCAGGCTGTGTGAACAATTTTGGGAACTGCCACCCAGCTCACTGCAGAAGATAGTTGAGGGATGAAGGGTGGACACTTGCAAGAAACGTCTCATTTCTCATTATTATCTGTCTACCTATCTACCATGTTCAAGGGAACAGGCATGTTTTGTGTCTCAGGGAACAAGCTCTTTTATACAGTTGTAATTAATTTATTAGTAAATATTTCTTTAAAACAAACTTACCTGTTATGCATTCCAAATAGTTGTACTTATTGTACAACTCAAAATGCAAATAAAGAAACAAACACTGTCAGCATGAAAACTACAAAATATGTACCACGGGAGCTTAGGTTTTCATTACATTACAGCTTTGTAGGGCATAGTGAACATTAGATATCAGATGTATTTTCTGAAAGCAATAAATAAATCATTGGATAATCTGAACACTTCTTCTGAGGTCAGCTTTTTGACACAACTATGTCAACATTTCATATCTTCTCATTAACTTCTCTAGCAAATCAGAAAAAAAATCTAAAACCAAAATGTCTTATAAGGTTTCACAGACAAAAGCTTAGTGATAACTGCAAATTTAAAAAAAAAGCTGCACAATAACTATGCTAATTCAACATGCACAGTATTGCCACCATCCTGCATATTCTTCCATTTTCCTTTCAAGAATAATCACTTTGTATTGGCATTATCTACATGTATCAGTAATCTTGACCAGGCTGAAATGTATCTGAACACAGAACAAGCCCTAGAAAATAAGAGTATACTCTGATTTTTCTTTTGTCCTGTTACAAGTGATATTTCATATCTTCTCATGAACTGCTCTAGCAAATTAGAAAAAAATCTAACACCAAAATGTCTTATAAGGTTTCACAGACAAAAGCTTAGTGATAACTGCAAATTTAAAAAAAAAGCTGCACAATAACTATGCTAATTCAACATGCACAGTATTGCCACCATCCTGCATATTCTTCCATTTTCCTTTCAAGAATAATCGCTTTGTATTGGCATTATCTACATGTATCAGTAATCTTGACCAGGCTGAAATGTATCTGAACACAGAACAAGCCCTAGAAAATAAGAGTATAGTCTGATTTTTCTTTTGTCCTGTTACAAGTGAAGTAAAGCATGTCTGCAGAATCTGGTGGAAGCAGTTCTTCAAAGTAGGAAAACAGCTGTTTTGTATGGAGAAGGTTCTCTTAATTTTTCTTAAGAAAAATTTTCATTTATTTTTTTTTTGTTATATATTGTATAGGCCTCAGCCACCTGGGATGGAAGGGAAAAAAATTTAAAAGCTACAACATAATCCTGGAAAGTAATTACTCATACCTAGTCAGACTGATATTTATGGTAGAAGCACACTCATCACAGACTGAAAAAGCAGCAATGAAGATTGTATTTAAAGATCTTTGTAAAACACCACAGTTCAAGACAGCCACTCATCTTTTCAATATCATGCATGAGTAGCTAACAATAGCTGTACTGTCATCACTTGCTGAGTCTCTACTTCTTGTTCCTTGAGAAGAGCACTCACTATATTATCTCCAATACACACCTATGTGAAGTGACACACCTGTATCACATTCCTGCAGGAAGTCTCCCCCTTTGCTCTTCAAGTCTCCGAGTAAGAAAGATCCTGCACTTGTTTCCAAAGCTCTAAGTACCACAATGTCACCCTCTGCAGAATTCATACCATTACTAGCAGTAGTTTCAGATTTAAAATCTTCCCAGACACTGTATATAGAGAAATCCAAAAATTCTAGCTATGTTTTACTTCTTTACACAGACAGGACTGAATCTGTACTCCAGACTTACAGAACAAGTCTGAGGCCAGTTCAGGACTCAACTGCATACACCCTTCCAGCACAGTTAGTTCTTCCATGGAGACATCACACATATTTCCACTTCTGTAAGATGGGTTACAGAACTCTAAATCAAAAAATTAGTACAAAATGTTTATTAATTGCTAATCACCCAATAGACAGAAACAGGAGTTTAAAAGGTTAGTTATTTTGTTCTTCAAGGCATTATTATCCTAAATGTTACTTTAAAGTAAAGCAAACACAATTAACAGTCCCAGCAGAGCACCCAGGAGCACACAATGGAACAGCAGCAGCCCCTGGTGGCACCTGGATCCTGCCTCAGCCATGGAGATCTGCAGTCACTACTGGCTTGAAAATAATCCTGCTTGCAGAGTTCTGTTCTCCTTAATATATTAAATTCTCACTTAAGCTTTTTAAATGTGTATTTATTCTTCCACAAGTAAAATTCAGGCAAGAGCTGCCCAACAGCTGGCAAATGTGAAACCAAACAGGAACTGTACACTGCTAAAAAGCAGGAGTAACCTGGATTCTGAACACCCCTTTATTGGGCAAGAACAGGAGAAACAGAAATATGATGTCATCTTTCCAACCTGACTACCCATGCAGCAAAAAGCCCACCAAGACATTGGTAATGGCATTATCATTATATCCACTTCTGCTGCCTTACAGCTGCTACATGAAGACCACACAAGTATCATCCTCTGCAGTTTACATTGGCTACTACATCTCAAGCTGGAACTCAATGGACTGAATTCATCAGCAGAAACTGCAGCTTTTTACCTCAAATTATTTTCCTCCCTGTATTATCCTACTGCTATTTTTCCAGATAATCCAACCACTACACTCCATCCAATTCTGAAGTAAATGGGCAGAGCAGAAATGCATTTTCAGTAAAGGATTCTAATTTCCCACCTGTGACCCCAAGAAAGGCAGTTTAAGCTCAGACATCTTCCAAAAGGCCAATTACACAAGGATCAGAGCTATACAAGTGCAGAGATATATATGATCACGTATGCACAAAAACCCAGGAAGGGAAGATGGATTTTCTACTGGGAAAGGAAAAATCACACACACTTATTCAGTTGGAGACCTTGAAACATCTTACCTCTAACTTGGCTATTTTTATTACATTGTAAACAGAAGAGACTTCCCCAAGGCTACACAAAAAATAAAATTCTGGAGTCAATGAAAACAAAAAACAAACAAAATACAAAACCAGCACCAGATTTGTATACATTGTATATAGCCCTATAACCATAGTAGCTTAAAAGTTTACTGCACACAACGCATAGATCCAAGGTTCTTTAGAATAGAATTACACGTTTATTGTTCACATTTTAAATACTTTGGTTCCTGACTGAACCATTGAAAGTCCTAATGGATCTGTAAACTGAGTATCACTAGAAAACAATTTAAAATGACATGTAAAATAATATTTATGTATGTATGTGTTTCATTTCATGGTTTCTCAGCATAACCACTTGTTCTATTTACAAATATATAAAGATTTTGCACTTTAAATCATTGAGATATCAAAGAGGTATTTTCAAATCACACAATAAATATAGAACCTGTTTTGTTAAAAATCTACAGTATACTGTACATTCAAGTCGAGGCAAAAAAGGATTCAATGCCAGTTACACTTGAGACATAAATGAATGTTTCCAATAATTAAACAATTTCTAAAAGTGCTATCTCTGCCTGTGATGAAAGGTAACATTAGGATCCAGTATTTCATTACAGTCAAAGTTTCAGACCATTGCTTTATTCACAGAATTAGAGCTTCTGTTACTAGAAAAATATCAAAGCTTTTATATAGTCTTAAATTTTCTCTCAAGACTTGCAAGAAAGAGGCAAAAAATGGTCTAAAAAATAAAAGCCGTGTGCACACACACAGAAACACACCACAATTCAGATCACCACATAATCCTCCAGAAGAATGATCAAACTCACAGCATTCTGTTTCATTTAAAATTATAAGTTTATGAATAAGTCTCTAAGAAAAATCCCAGCAGGCAACCCTAGAAGTCTAAGGCAGCTGTTCCATGTGCAAGTTTCTACATAGAGTGCCAAGTCCAGAGTCTTCCCATGACTTTGTGCATTCTTCAGTTTCTTCTTTGCCATCACTTTCCACCCACAGATTTGGCAGGTAATTTGCAGCAGGTTTTTCTGATGCAACACTGGAAGCAGAAAAAGAAGTTACAATGAAAATAAATAATGCTTTGGATGGAAACAGTATTTTTTATGATATAATGTTAATATCCTTGGTTATATACCAGCCATAAGCTTTAGAATACCTTGTACTCTACACAAAGCTCAGCACACTACAGACCACCTACAACATTGTTTCACAAACCTGTTTTGTGTAATATACTGAGATATCTCCCAAGGTTCTGGGGAAACAGTAGGACTTGACACAGAGGGAGGTCTTCTTTGCTGAGATGCAGATCTCACTAAATGAATGTCTGCGTCAGAACCTGAGAGAGACACATCAGTTAAACTGCAGCTCACTGGAAATAAGCAAGTCCTTCAAGGTTTGTGTCCTCTGCTTTAAAGAAACAAAACAAAAAAATCACAAAGACCTTAAAGCAGAGCTATAATAAAACTGTCATTGATATAGACCTGGGATAAAATTTTTAAAGTATTTGTAATGCTATTGAATGAAGTTATGTTGAAATTAGGACTCTAAATTTGAAAATGCAGCATTTGCATATATAGCCACCCCTAAAAGTAGTCACACAAAGTTACTCAAGTGTAATTTCTCGCTTTACAATTAATAAAGCTTTTTTTATTCCTTAAGTAAAGGCTTCTCCAGCATGCACAGTCATAACACCAACATGAAAACCTGCAAACTTGTCAGAATTTAGAAAATAAAACCAAAATGAAGTTAGATGTCTTACTGCTAACATGAAACTGATCATCACTCAAGTCAATAGAAAGACATGGCAAACTCAGGAGGGCCAGATCAATCCCTTCTCACATTTATATTTCAAAGCTTTTATATGAAGTGGAAAACCAGAATGATTACATGTTCTTCAGTATTTATACAAGCACCCGAAAGTTACCTGCTGTGCTGTCAGGTATTTGATATTCACCAGACTGTTTCATAAATATAAATTGACTATGTAAGTAATTATCAGGAAGGGAGTTACAATTCCCCTTTTCAAAGGAAATTTTGAACCATCAGTGGCCCTGATATGTGGAGGCATACAGATACATGGTAAAACTTTTCTTGAGACCTTTTGGTTTTTTAATTGTTTTGTTCACACTTGTGACTTCTAGTTGAAAGGAAGAAAAAAACTGTGCAAGAACATAATTTGAACCAAATACTTGCTTCTTAAGAAGGCACTTGGAGTTGTCACATTTTCAGACTTGCAATCAGCAGTCATACTTAAGAACTGGTGCTTCAGCCATGCTCCTCTATCTTCTTCAAATGCCTTTCTCTAAGAAAAGAAATGACAGTTTACATTCATGACCACAGGAAAAAGCCTAGCCCACGTTAAATTGATGCTATTCCATTTCAGAAAGCCAAAGTTGTAACATGTCCATGTCACCAAGGAGAGGCAGCAGCTTAACACAGCAAATACTGTCTGTGAGCAAGCTTTTGAGCCCAACAGGACTGGCTGAGGAGGCACGCACAGCCAAGCCCCACAGTTTGTTCCACAGAGGTCAGAGCAATCCTGTCACATTACTGCTCTAGACTCCAGTGACACCATCTCCTGTGCTCCCCATGCTCCCAGGGCAGCACTACCTCTTGGAGCAGCATCATCCAAGGCAGCTACCAGCAACAATTACTACTTAAACCTTCTAAACAGGGAAAAATTACATTGAAAATAGCCATGATTGCTGCTGTCTAAAACTGGAGCAAGAAAAAAAAAAAAAAAAAAAAAAAAAGGTTTTTACTTTTCCCAGCCCCCCAAAGCAAAAAAAAAAAAAAAGCCTAACAGATAACCTCCAAGAGACCCAATGGCTCTGGAATCAAGCAACAAGCTCTTTCATCTCCAAAAATCATCAGTGAAACAGGATGCTCCTATTCTGTGTCAGTAGAAAAACAGAGGAAGCTGAACTCCAACGCAAACTTTCACAAACACCTACAAAGCTCACAGCATTGCTTCTCATTTCATACCTCAGCATTCTGACAAGCTGAAGCATGAGCAGTTATACTTATGCTGCAATGTACTCCTAAACATTTCCAGACAAACAATTATTGTGTATTATCACTCACGACTTTTACAGCTGAATTCAATGTGCAACATGAAATTAACTCACTAAAATGAAAATAAATTGTAGTTTGTGTTTGTTACCATGTGAACTACTGCTAACTTAGTAGCTTAAGTAAAATCTGGAGTATTTTATATTCTGGGTCAGACAGGTAGTTATAGTCTGTGTTTGTTACCATGTAAACTACCTAGTAGCTTAAGTAAAATCTGGAGTATTTTATATTCTGGGTCAGACAGGTTGGTGGCCAGTTAGCTCTGTATTCCTTTTCCAACAGTGGCCACAAGAGATGCTATTTATGAGCATGGTCACTTTCTGCAGTGCATTCCCTCACAGGTTCCGATTCCCAAAAGCCATTTGATTATAGATACTGAAAAGGCACCCCCTTGTGCCCCATTTTTATTATCTGCGAGTGTGCTGCCCATCAGCTCTGCTGATCAGTGTGTTGTTGCTCCTTGAACTTGATGGTATGCATTGCCTTTACAATCTCCTTCAAACAAAAATCCAGAAGTCAACTACCTAACGATAAAAAGCTACCTTTTTGGGTATGTTTTTGATTTAATTCCAAAATTAAGAGTTCCCACTAGTCCAAGTCTTGAGGGATTTGGTGAACAACAGCAGGGCTTTCGTCTGCTCAAACTGAATCCACAGCTTTATAAATTTTAAACACATCCCACTCCAACTTTCTGCTCTGCACATCAAAGCAAGCTGTTCTTTAAGCAATAAAGTCCATTTATTTTTTCCTGTCATATCAGTACCATCCTAATTTCACAATGACATCATCATGACCTTTCCCTGCCAAACTTGTAAGCCTCTTCACAATTTTGACCCAAACTATGGGCTAGACCAAAGGAGATGTGCTAGAGCTCATTCACAGACACATCTACCCTGACTGCCAGTATCTGTGCCTACTTAAACTGGCTTACTGGCCAGCTTAACAACAAAACTAGAACAGACAATGACCCTACTAAGGGAAGCATAGTAATTACTTGGTGTTTTAGCAAAAGTCACTGGTTTTCGCCAAAGTTTAGAAATCAAGTACCTTTGAGATTCAACCCTCAGGCCAAATTTGACTGAAATTTGCATAGGCCTTACTTTTGTAGGAAACCAAACTTTACAAGTATCCAAGGGATTTAGTTAATAAATTTTGGAAGCATTTAAGATATTTCAAAAGCTGAAACAAAAATGGTTTGGTTCCAGTTGCAGAAACTGTATTTTCCAATATACACAAAAACCTTGGCTTTTTCAATTGCCAAGAGAACGATCTTCCAGAACAACTAAAGATATGTTTTATACAATATAGCAATGATCTTTCTCTACAGACATCAGAAACAGATATTGCTGGATGGCTGCACTTTGGCACATATAAAAGAGTCTTGGAATTCACCTCCAATTCATAAGAACTCCCTTTCCAAATACCTCAAGTCCTAATCTAATAGCAGCTTCGGTAAAACTTTTTCGTTCTTTCTCAAAATTCTTTTTTTGCTCTCGAAATAGTCTCCACTCTTCCTGAAGACGCTCTCTTTCTTCCAACAAATAGCAGTCTTGTAGTAACAGAGTGGTGTCATCATCACATGTAAGCTGTTGCTGTAGATACAAAGCAACAAAAGACAAATGTTCATTTGGGAGTGTCTTGAGAGGTACAAAATTTCCACAGTTTCAGTTTTATCAGAAAAATTATTGAAGTCTAATGTGGAAACAATGCAGTAGATATCAAGCTGGTGGACAGTGGAGGCAGATTCCAGACAGCAATCAAAATCCCTGTTCAGACAGCCTCACCTTTGTTTAGCCCCCAAAATTACTCATACCAGGAGTATGGAAACAATGCAGTAGATATCAAGATGGTGGACAGTGGAGGCAGATTTCAGATAGCAATCAAAATGTCCCTGTTCAGACAGCCTCACCTTTGTTTAGCCTCCAAAATTACTCCTACCAGGAGTAAAAAGACCTTAAATTATTAAACAAGCCACTAGCACAGTTATACTCAGACCACCCACTAAGTTGTTTTATTTTAAAAGCGTGAACAAGGAATGGAGAACAGCTTAGAGGCAAGAAGAGTGGAATGTTAAATAAAATACACTTGGATTCAGTTGAGAAAAATAAGAAAAAATAAAGCCTACTACCTGTAAGAGCTGTTGCTGAGTTCTGATCATTTCTTTACATTGCTGAATCTCTAACTCTAGCTTCTCAGTTTCTAGCTCATGGTCTTCTCTTGAAATGACATCTTTTTCATTCAAAGCTCCTGAATGTCCACGTGACACTAAGGGAGAAAAAAAGCATCTTTAAAATAAGTTATAAAAACCCCAACACCTCATATCAGAGGTGCCTTGGGAGAGCAAAAGATTTTAGACTCTTAGTTTCAGCATGAAAGACAGACATGCTTTTGAGTGTGCTGTGTATCAGACACAAGAGCTCCAAAACTGGTGCTACACGAGTAATTATCCATCAAATCCGGTTTAAAAAAGAAAAAGCAATGAAAACATGGCTGTTTCACATTCCCCAAGGTAAATCAACCCTCTTCTCTGCAATAAGTGTTACAAAAGCCTCGCTTGTTTCAGCAGTCATTTAAAAGAAAACTCAAGACAACTAAAGATTTTTTTCACTGACATGCTGTTAAGCCCATTCTTCTGAGCCCATTTTGAAGGGCTTATGTGTTCATAAAAATATGACAGTAACTATATTTATCACAGATATAAAAAGAAAGCCTTTTCCTTCAAGTCCTGTGAAGGAGAAATGGAGCTAACAGACTGGATGCATGTTTTCATTCTAGTAAGGGAATGAATTACAGAAGTGGTTCTATTTTGTACAATTACACACTGGCTTATTTAGCTCAATGCATAGCTAAGCCACAATGATTGTAATAAGACAAGGTTTGGACCCCTAAAGCCAGTATTTGAACATCAATAGAATCCTAAAGGGCTATACTATGGTCATCCCTATAAGCTAAAAAAACCTAGTAGATTACTCCAAAAAAAGAGCAAACAATTGTAACATTTTTCCTGATGCTTATTTTTCAGTTAGTTACACCAAATAAAATATTACAAGCATTCTTGAAATCCTTTCTAGGGTGTAAGCATACTCTCAAATGCCATCTGCTGTTTTATTTGCAACTGCATGCATGACCTTCTCAATCTCACTCTTGACAGCAAACATCCCTGTGGTAGTGGCTGCATTAACTAGCATTGAAAAATAATACTAGGAAAGAATTTTATATATTTTTAGCTGTCTTAATGCTGTTTAACAGCTGGAAATGAGGAGAGTCCAGCACCATACCATCAGTTGGGTTGTTTTAGAATGCCACAAGAAGTCCCAGAGGATGTGGCAAGACTAGGCTCTTTAGAGGTAATTGTATATTTTACATCCAATTATTTCCAAGTGCCACATGTGCATTACTTTTTCTAAAATGTATTTCATATGTACACATAATGCAGTTAAACACCAACCTTGGTTATCCAGCTTTTCAACGTGATTTTTCAGCATTCGCCACTGCTTTCTAATGCTATTGGTAAGCTGCTCCCGCACAGTTTCACAAGATAATTCCCACATATTCTCTTTATTTAATTCTCCAATATCTTCCTCCTGGTCTGACAGCACCTGTAGAAGCAGAAATAAGAAGCCAATAAACCATTTCATCCCTCCAAATATGTGCATTTGTTTATATAAATATGTGCATAAATTCAATTTACTGAAGAGAAGGAAAACCCTCAAAAAGATTTTTTTCCATCCAGGGAAATTTGACACTGAGGGAGTTCAGCTCCCTGACAGCATCATGCTGAGGAGGCAAGTGAGCAGGCAGGCCCCAAAACCCCAGCACAGAGACCATGGGTCAGCTACCAAGACTCAGTCATTCACATCTGCAACCCAGAGAGGGTCAGACTGCTGAGTTCTGCTGTCAGAATTAGGCAGTGGCTGCCCCAGTATGGGGGCAAGTCATCCAGTCAAGAAGGATATTCACACCTTAAAAAGGAGGTGACAGAGAACCTACATGGCTGTTCTACACAGCCATGCCAATGAATTGTTCAATAAAAACATCCTGTGTAAAAGAAATAAAAAATACTTAATCGGGAAAGCAAAACCCCCCAGGCATCCAAAATCCAGTATTTTGCATTTATATACAGAATTACATACTAGTAGCTACTGTATTTACATTCATTCAAAGAACATTTTCAAGCTTTTAATTTACTTACTGGAAAGAATACACTGTATATTGTTCACGGAGAGCAGAATATTTATCTTTATATTGACTTTCACACAAAGCACATGATGTGCAATCCACTGCAACTACTCAGAGGAGGTTTACTTTCTTTTTAATAACTATCAAATTACTCCAGTACTATACCAAAACACTATGGAGATTTAATTTTAACTGAAGAATACTTACCAGCCCATCTTCAGATCTTTCTTTAGGTTTTTGTTTCTGTGGTGGGAGAAGTGAAATGATATCTTTCTTCATTTGCTGAAGAACTTTCTTTAGCTCAGTATTTTCCAGCAAAAGCTGTTTTTGGCGTTGTTCGTAATCACTTAACAGAACTTTGTACATTTCTTCTTCGTTTCTGGAAGAAATAATCTTACAGTAACAACATAACGGCCCTCATACACGCTTCAATTAAGGTTGTTCTAAGACAACTACCTGGCTTCTGTCTTATCAGTCCTCCATGCACCTCTCTTCCCATCAGCTCTACCAACATAATTTAGAACTTCCATAGCTACAAATGAAAAGGATATTTCAAAGTGTGAAACAATATGCAAATAGATAAAGATTTAGATGACATTGCATTTGTATGTAGTTATTATAAAAAGATCATATTACTCAAATATACCCCTCAAACTTCAGACTCATGAAATCACATGACCCTGCTTAAAGCAAAAATAACATAGTCAAAGGAAAAAGGGTAAGTTTTTGAGTTTTGAAACTCAGAAGGATATATTCTCATCCTGTCTTATCTTTTTAATGCATTTCTTAATGACACCTTCATCCCTACTTCAACTTTTAAAGCAATGTATCAAGTCTATGCTCATTCTGGCAATAATGTCAGTTTTATCCCCTGTTTAGGGTAAATAACTTAATGTTTCTTAAGGTATTCCTCAAAACTTCTTTGCCCACATTTGAATAAAAATCAAATCAGAAAACCCCAACCACACCACCAACAAAAACCCAAAGTCAATGTAAGGCTATTTTTACCTCACTGATATTTGAACTAGTACTAGCCACCAGAAGTCAAGAATGTTGAAGTTTTGCTGACCTCAGGGTGAAGTTTCTAGAGCTTACTGAAATGATATCTAAAGATTTTCTGCAGCCAAAATACGTGATCCTCCTACTGTGTCCTAACCTGGTTTGGTTTAAGTACAAGGACTTACAGAAAACTAAGAATGCAGAGAACCATCTTGGCAAAAATAGTAGTAGTTTTCTTCTGGTTTAGTGAACTAAGTGAGCTTACTAAAACATGGACGCTGGCAAAGCTGAGTTTGGGGGCAGCAGGGGGACAAGAGCAGGACTTCCCTTCCACTAGAGATACATTATATAAATACTTTAAGGCCAGATATATGAGCCAAAAGGTACATATTTACATACTTTTTTTTAGTACCTAACAACAATACCCATTTTCAGCCATTTTTCACAGAAAATGGTATTTATGGTAAATAGCACCGATGACTGTCTTGAACACAATTTTTGGGCACTATAACATACAAGTACTCATGATAAAGGAGATCTAGTTTCTCATTTCACAGAGTACAGGATCTGCCTTGTGTTGCTTCCTCTCAAACCTCTCATTACTTGTGCTAACCACAAGCAGAGTGTAGTATCTCCAGGGTGAAAGTGCAGTGCCTTCTTGATGGCAACTGCTTGGAACAATACAGTGTTTATGACATTATCCAAAATGTTGTGATAGCAACAGCAGCAAGAAAAGAGAAGAGATGGCTCTAGCATAGGCATTGATTCCTATGGAATTCTAGGAATAAATGTTCCCTAGTAGGGGAAAGAAAAACAAAAAAAAAATAACCCCAAAAACACAACCCCAGCTCATTAGGCAAAAGATCAGCATTTAGTTTATGCTTGGTAAGGGATCTTATGGAACACAATGTAGACAAGGCTTACACAGTCAGCTAACATGAAATATTGAATCTTTTCTTTAACATTCCAACATCAAAATAAAATCTGCAAGAGGGCCACATTGTCTTTAATGATAAAAATGCTTCAAATTGGCTCTGGTTAACATACAGAATATGCTAATTTTGCTGTGGTAAAACTCAAATAACTACTTACCTAGCTTTTTGTCTTTTTTATTCATGACTAACTGATGTAAGCGCTCCTTTAATTTGTTATATTCTCTCTCTTTCCTCTTCATATCATGATTGTATTGTGTAGCTCTACTTGAAATTACGTTCTGTAACTTCTGAACCTAAAAGCAATGCCACAAAAGGCTGTTTCTTCCACTAAAGTACCAACATAAATTTCTTCAGAAAACCAAAACACTTGAGGCGAAACAAAACTTCTATTAAACTGTTCTTCTGGTGAAAGGAAATGACAAAAGGAATCAGAAGAGCTCTCCCACCCCATGGATTCTGATCTCAGACTTGTCTCAGGAGAGGTAGTTTCTGTTCAGCAGAAACCCATATTCCCATATTATAAACAGCAGATTATAATACTATGATTCCTCTGAAGTACAACTGTACTAGTGTTCTGATAAGTCACATAACCTTTAATGCCTTTACTGAAAGAGCAGAGAAAGGTGTCTCTTTACTTTCAGTAATTCATGTTCAGGATCTAGGTTTACTCCAATCCTAAAGCAATCTTCTTAGGCTTAGACTAAAAAATAAACTCCTCTTCTTGGGGAGGTCTGTCTGAAAGACAGACTATTCTATTTGGTCTAAAAGAACATTAAAACATCATAAAGCAAATTTTTGGCATGTACTATCAATTCCTAGGGATGTATTGTTTGGGTTTTTTAAATTTCATGATTTAACCTTACAAACATACAGCACATTCAATATTTTAAGCTGGAACTGTAGGAAGTTCACCATGAACAGTTAGTACAGTTGGGTTATTCCCAATTGTATGAACATGTTTATGAACACAGAACATTCACAGAAACTTGGAGGACCCACATTCACACAAACATAGGAGCCATGTGAAGTACAATGCTAGGGAAGGAGCATAAAGGAAACAAATGCTAAACTAAGAAGTGTCATGAATGCCAAAGTGCTTTCTGATCTTAAATGTTTCAAGATATTTAAGTTTAATGAGATGGTGGTTTTGAGCTGGGTTTCCCCCCACCTCCCTTCTTATTGGTCTTTTGCTCCCCTCTATAATAAAACCCCAAAAGACTCTATACATAAATGTTTGAGTAAGTGACTGAATCCTGTTGCCCCTCCTACTTTTTTGATGTATCTGAACATTATAAGGAAAAGCTGTAGTGAAAATCCCAGAAAAGTGCACATCTGCATTTCTGCAGTGCTCTCTACTATTGTTGTAACTTGGACCTATCCCTTATAGAACCTATTTATCCATATGCAACATGCCAATCAAATTGAAAGACAACATTTACCAAACAAAAAACCACATTCAAAATGAGCAATTACAAGACTCCGTGCATAAAAAAAAAAATTGTGCAATATCTATATAATGACTTGTGTTAATGTACAAAACAACTCACTTCATCCTTTTCATTTTTAAGTAACTGGTGCAAATTTCTGTTCTTGCTTTGCAGTTGTCTGTCTCTTTCCTGAAGCCCAACTATTTCCCTTTTAGATAATTCCAACTGTTCCTAGAAAAAGTGTTGATAGTTCAGTATCAATAAGAATTAAAAGCATAAGATTTAAAAAACCCCAACCAACCAAAACAAACAAGCCATGTTAACCAAACTGCCAAACCACCTCACATGAGGTATGGCTTGGTATTTAACAGATATTATCTTTTACAGTTAGAACTTTTTCATTAAGTCAGGATTCTGTAAGTATATCTGTACTGTGAGAGTGAGGTGGATATTAAGCAACCTGTATGAATTTGGAACTACAATTTTACTGGGGCATTTCTGTTGAATAATCAAGGGTACAATTAACACAGACATACAGATTGTGACCATAACAATGCAAATGAAACATTTCACATATACACAGAAGGCTAGACAGATGAACTCATTACAACAGACAATGCAAAACTAGCATTTTAAAGTTTTGTCCATGAATGAGACTCAGACCTCAAATTGGCAGCTTAAATGACAAGTCAAATACAAACTTTTCCTTCATATGAGTACTGAGGTACAAATGGGTAGATATATTTAAGCAACAAGAACTTCTAAACACTGAAATACATTGAAATACAGGTAACACAATAGTGGAAGTCAAGAGGATTGCTGTATGGTAGCTGAAAGAATCTACACGAGGCACCTCACAAGCTGACAGCCAATTAGATGTCCTGGCAGCATTCATGTAGTACTAAGAAGATTTCCCTCTCTCCCCTTACAGCTATTCATCCAGGAAAAGCAACTGGAGCGTTCTAGAAACTAACATTTTACAGCATTTGTATAAAAATCAGTGCAGTTACAGATTACTTTTAATGTGTAATCAAAATCCTTCGACATGAATGACCAATCTCAGCAAGAGGGCTACTATGATTTTGAAAATCTACAGCAGTATTTTTCAAGGAGACAGTGCTGACCAGCCCAAGTGAAAAGCAAACCTAAAAAAGCACTGAATCATGCACTGAAATATTTTCTCTTTTTTTATATTTTATTTTCTTGACAGAATTAAGAGAAAGTCAAGTCTTTTCTAATATGACTGAACATACAAGTGCACCCAGGAACTTCCAATATATCAGCTACTCCTCAGGGACTGGCCTTGAGCATGTGTTTATCCTGTGATAAAATGAAGCTTAGTAACTTGTGGTTTGAAAACAGTTTCTGAGCAATTCTTAAAAAGAGACTTTGTAGTTGGATATTCAAGGCATCCAACAACAAAAAAAACACATAGAAAAAGCTAATGATATGGAAAAGGGCTAAAAACCCCCACACTAGAAGAGTTATATGTGCTTTTACTTGTTACAATTACATTGGGAATTTATCTTTAAGAGTTGGGCATACCCTTTTAAGCTATAATAAATTATAGGAACTGAAGTGTTTAATGTTTTTACCCGAAGTGTTCATTAACACTCCCAATTCAAACACAGTCTTCCCCCTTCCTAGATTAAGCAGGCTAAAATTCCAAATAATTAGAAGTTCTCTTGTTAGGTCATATTTCATTAACTTTAAGGCATTTTCATTCAGGGAAAAAAAAGACTTCCAAAATCCCCAAAATACACAAGAAAATACAACTGCAAATTAGTACAGGGTAGGAAAAAAAAAAAAAAGAAGAGCAAAAGAGCTGCATAATTCTAATGGAATGATCTTGTTTTCTACCTTCAACTTAGCATAGCAGTTCTGCAAGTGATCCATATCACTTCCCAGTTTCAGATGCTGTATTTCTATTTCTTCCTGAGCTCGAAGGTTCTTGTGCTGCAGTACAAGCAATTCATTTATACAATTTACCATAGCTACTAAATCTAATTCTTTTCCTTTGGACTCCGCATAAATAGAGGGAAACCCCAATGTTGTCAATTCCTGGTAAAAGACAAGGGAGAGGGGGGGAAATGAGATCAATAACTGGATCAATCTTTCACCATTCTCCAAAAGACAGAAACAGTATCAGGTGAAATGCTGTATGAAGGGGGAAAATGTGACTTCCTTCCCACCAACTTCAGCTTATGGGCACTGAGGAAGAAGCCTTCTTAATCCAGTCAATCTTTTTTACCACAATTGATTGCATGCAGGTGACAGTCTCCAATAAACAAAGATTTGCCTTACCCTGTCAATATAGGATATACTCTGTTCAATATTCTCTTCTGTGCAGAAGGCACTGAAAAAGCTGTGCATGTTTTTGGATGAAGGCAGTGACAAGCGTAGCACTTGTGAGCTCATGCTTGTAGGAGATGTCCTTTCTTCTGAGGTATATAGAAATGTATTTTTGCTATCTAAAAGTTAAACATTAAGAAGAAATCAGCTATTATTTTAACACATCACATACAATAAAACCCTTATGTATTCAAGTTATTATTTACAGAAATTTAGATCCTAGAACTGAGAATTTCATCTAAAATGACATTAAACAATTCACAATATATATAAAACAGAAACTTCCACTGAAGATTTAGACTCAATAACACTTTAAAGTGTTGTACCTTTCAAACTTTACTCATCCCCAAGAAAAAACTGAGCACACTTCCCTTTTATTGACTTACTACAACAGGTGCAAGAGACGCACATTCAGTAAAATTCTTACAGAATGTATGGTATTATTATACCTATTAAGAGTATGCTGTAATTTCCTCTTCCACTAGGCAGAAATAGGCAAAAAAAAAATCTACTCCTTTAACAAATTTGTAACCAATTTATGAAGCAAAAGAATATAGAACAAGTAAACAAATCTTTGAAAACACAAGATACATTGATAGGCATGATTATAAAAAATAAAATATGACTGCAAGTTCTTAACCTTTCCATACATGTGCAAGTACAGTGTTTTACATTAGCATTTCTGTAAGGACTCAATCCAAGACAAAGCACTGTTTGTATTATTTACCACGCTGTTTACTCAAGTATGTCATGCACAAAACTCCAGTCTCTCTCTTTAGCTGCTATAACGTCATTGGTAAAATCAGCAAATCAACTAAATTCAAAATATTCCCAGTTTACCTGATGACAGCACCGGCACAGTAATAGTCTTCCAATCTCCCATAGCAACAGAGACAGGCTGGGTACCTGAGCAACCGGTTCAGCAGCAAAGTATTCAGTACAATTGCTGGCAACGTGTGCTACGTAGGCATCTCCTAAAATAGCAAGAGCATTTCAGATTAACAAAAGCAGCTAATACAGCTAGAAGGTTAAAGAAGGCACAGGAGAGTGACTACTGAACTTGAACCATGTGAAATTTTTCTACTGCTTTACACTAAATCTGGAACACAGTAAGCACAGCAAATAGTATACTGTAAGAATGATGCATGTATCTATCTATCTATATTTAGCCTTAACTGTCTTGTAAACCATTAACTAAAACCAAAATGCCATTCACACATGAAAATTAAGACTCAGATAACTACTTGCTTCTGTTGATGTACATCAAAGAAAACCAAGCAAGACAAATATTTCTTCCTGCCATATATAACCAGGAAGCAATTTTATTACCATAAACTTATATGAAGTTTTAAAATATTTAAAATGGGACTGTTACTTAAAGAGATGCATTATAAAGGCACCAGAGAGGATATATTGGCAGAGGGCGAAGGAACTTTTATTAAACATTTAACTATTTAAATTAACTTACACATTTTGTAATATTGCCTTTCCCTAGCAAGTTGCTTGCTTCCTTGCAGAAACCCCAAAACTACTGAAGGAAACAAATAGGAGAAGGCTTACGCTGTTGGCAGAGGCTCAGTACAGCACTGTCCCTCTGGAAACCAAAGGGAAGCCACCCACTCAAAAGAAAGAACAAACTGATTGTCCCCTCACCCCACCTCCACCACACAGTAAGAAGGCACATAATAGCATTAGTTATCTCTCACTGCTGGAAACTTTAAATCCAGCTCGGATGCTAAAGATTTGGACAGCACAGCCCATCAGCTGTTAGGGGAACAATGATACTTCAGGGAAACAAACTTTCCACCTGACAGAAAAGAAGGCCCCTTTGTTTCAACCAACACTTTGGAAAAAAGTCTAAAGTCTGTTTTAGACGGATTCAGCATATTTTAGAGCACAGGGATGTTCTTCCCCATGCTAATGTTCCAATAAACACACTTTGGCTAAGCAACTTCTAAATTTCTGACACTAAAACCTTGTATTTTTATCACTCTGGAAAAAAATGTTGTTTGGGTGGGGAAAGAAGGGAAGGGACTGGGGGGAGTGTTTTGTTATCCCTAAGGTCTCTTGAGAACACAAAGACAGTAAAAATTCTTATCAAATGACAAAGCACAGAATACAGTGTCCAAAGAAACACCAAGTTTTCAAGAGATCATACGGGTGCACAGTCATTTTACAGAATGCTCAGCACTAAAAAAACCCCTCTAACTAATTATCCTGCTGGATGAACACTTTTCCCCAGGTTCATAAATGTACATGGGAAAAAAGGTAAACAGTTACTCCTCACGTGTTGTAATTTAGTAGCTCCTGAAAACTTTCAGATCAGAAAGTACACACAAGGCAGCAAGAAAACAGTCAGTGTAATGATCTAGTTGCTGTTCTTGTTAAAGCAATGGTTTGTGCTTTCTCTCTACACTTGATTTATGCATATTTTCCTCCCGTAAAAGCAAGATGTTCATAAATTAACTAAACAACAGTGCCTTTAAAACGGAATTCAAAGCCAGTAAGTATTAAGAGAACACACTTCTTACATGCTACTTTATTTCTGCTGCATCCATCAGACAGATAAATGCACAAACATAAGAGAAAAAGACAGCAAATTAAGGTACAAGTATGTTTTCATTACTGACATCACAACCCTGCAGTCTTGCAACATTTTTCAAAAGATTCTTAAGAACCTTAACATACAAATTCCATCAAGGACTGCTGGAAAGTCCACAAAAATACTTATCTCATTTTAGATATGCTGCTCCTTCCAAACAAACTGGCTTTCATTCTTTAATAGTCTGCACCCACACTCCCTGAACACACAGTATTCTCAACCCCCAGGTCTCTCTGCACTGGCAGTACTATTCTAACACAGCATCTGTCACCCTAAACAACGTCTGACTGGAAGCAGCACTAATCCAGGTGTGGGAATGCAATGATTCTCTAAATTTGCACCCTGCAAGTCACACACAGATTCACCCAGAGCAGATGCTTTAGTAAGACCAGCCTGTACACAGGGATCTGTCACAGGTAATTCTTACCAGGTTCAATGACTTGCCCAAAAACCTGTAACCACCCACTGCTTTCTGGAGGTAATTTCCCAAGCTTCCTCTCCCAAGCAAGGAATTCCTGGAGGCCAAGACACAGATGGACTGTGCAAAAATGAGCCTCCAGGACCCAACTGCAAAAGTGTGAATACAAGAGCAGAGCCATATCACTGAAAAAAGAAATCTTGTATCAAACAAAAAGACCCAACATACACCCCACTAAAATTACAGAGAGTTTGATTATACCAAGGAAGCAGTAATCAAACCAAGGCATTTAAGTGATAGTTGGAATAGGAGAAGTACAAAAAACCCAAGGAACATAAAAAAAAAGGAGCACTGTCATGGTAATAACATACCAGAACTTCTTTGAAAGCCATCTTGGGAAATTCTGCACAAAACCCCCACAAATATTTCCAGAAACTTCTAGATAATTCACTAAAAAATACATCTTTCTTTTCAAGAACAAGACTAAAGTTCAAAATCAGTATATTTCATAAGTTCAAAGAGCTGAAAGAACCTGCTCATAGGCCTGTGTTTTGGGGGACCAGAAAGGAACTGACAATAAATGTGCCAAGATTTAAGACAGAAATCTGATTAATTAAGCCTGAGTTCAGACTATATAAAAACTTGAAAATCATAAGCATGTAAATATCATGTTCAAACTTGAAAAGGAGCAGTTGTAACTGGGTTTGTAAAACACACTCAAGCATCCAGCAAAGAATTGCCACAGTGCAGTGCTGTGATCATATTGCACCATCTGGTCATCCCTAACCCAGACAGGGTGTGACACAAGTGGGAAATGCATTATCTGCTAACCTTCCACCCTCTCCTATCTGCTAAAGCTTCTCCCCACCAAGGTAGTGAGAATGTGGAAAGGCACCTCTGGAGAGGTGCAATGCCTCAGAAGAAAGTTTGAAGAGTCAGCATCAACCAGAAATAGTTTACCATTCCTTCTCTGTATATTTCAAATACTACAACTTGTGACATGCATGTGTTTCAACTTGTAAAACTGCGGGGGTACTTAGCATTTACTTGAAGACAAGCATGATTCTTTTCTACCAAAATAATACCCAAAGGGAGCTCTGGAGCTGCTTAAAGCTTTTACACTTGTCTAGTAATCCGCAGATGTCACACAGATGGCTTTTATCTGGATGGACAGAGACACAACTCTAGGTAAATTTAGGGGACACTCTAGGCATGACATTGAAGGTTTACAAAATATCCCTGATAATGTCATGACATATACTTGTTTTAATTCATGTAATTGCCACAAAAGTCCCTGCATTTCCTCCCTAGAGTTTTGACATTTGTCTCTCTATGCAATTCCTAATAACAGTTTATCATTAGCACTAATATATATATTATATCCAGTGATAATGGTACAGTAAAAGGAATACCTTTCTCTTCAAATCTATTAATTCTAGTGACCTTTATTTGAAACTGTCATTTTAATGATGGCTCTTGTAATTAAATCTGAGCCCAGATTTTTCTTCCCACACTTACAAAACTGTGGCAATTTAATCATTAACCTATTAGCTTCAAAATGAGGATGAAGAAATCCCCCAACTTATCCACATTCCATGGAAACTTTAAGTAATACCAGATTTTCAGCTGACTTTCCCAGTATTGTCAAAAGTAACATGAACAATCAAGTCAAACCACCTAGCCTTTGGGTATGAAGTCTCTGTTCATTCTGAATGTATCCTACTCAAAAATCCTAACTACATTCCTCCCCTCATTTTACTTAAAAAAAAAAAAAAAAAAAAAAACAAACCACCAAAACAAAACAAGAAAGCAAATTGACATTACCAAGGGTTTTAAGAAAATAAATATTCAATCTTCTCAACACATACAACAATTACACAAGAATATATTCTTGCATCTGCTAAAATCCAGTGTTCAATGACTGATCTGTGAGGGTCTTTACCTCAAATGCTCAGGTTACAAGGAATATAATCTGATGTACTACCTCAAGATTCACCTCTACACGCTATATACAGAGATGACTGAAATTCTGTTACTTCAATCACTGAAAAAATTGAAACACATGGAAACATTTTATCTGGCTCCCAAATTCCTACCCCATTTTGAACTAACATGATGGATTTCACATTAGCATTTTCCTATCACTAAACAATAACTCTGTTGTTAAGCTTCCAAACTGCATTTCTCCCTTTGCATTCACAAACCACTTACTATATGTAGCCAGAGCAGAACATTCTATTACCAAATCTCCCTATGTCACACACAAGAGAATCTCAGAAAACATCTTCTGCATGTCCTCCTCTTCTTCCTGAGGTCAGCTTTAGCCAAACTTTACAGCTTATTGTCTTTGCTAGCAGACAACTTTTTAAAGGAAAAGCAAACCGCTACCTTACTAGTTCCTAAAGTTGGTGAGAGATTTACTGGACAGAGCCAGAACCAATATTCCAAGTATCAGAAATTAGGAAACTTACATGTTTCAGTAGCATGTAACCTGAAAGCTAAATCAAGCATGGAATGCAAGAAGATAAGTACATAATTTCTCTAGAGATTACCAGGGAATTCAAGGAATAATTCTCCTGTAAATTCTAGGTTCCTGTTAATCAAAACATGTCACAGAAAAGACTTGACAAACAAACAAATGGGACTGGTGAAGTGTCAGCATACCTTCTGTGGAAGGAAGGAACACTAACCAGCCTGCCACAGTGCTCTTGAGGAAAGAGGCATCCAACACACCTGGGCAAGACATCATAAGTCAATTTTCAAAAAGGTTTCCACAATGTTCCCTCCAAAACCTCTTAAATTAAGATTTTAAGGAATTTGTTAATGACTGATTATAAACTGAAAAGGGCAAAATGTAGAAACAAATTAAAGATGGGTGAGCAAAGTGCAAGAAAGTGACAGAGAGACAAATTAGAGTCCCAAAGGCGTCTGTGCAGGCATCTCTCTATAACACATCATGTACTATATAGTACATACTCATGTACTATACAGAGTTAATCACAAAAATAAACACAGGTTGAATGACAAACTGCAGAAGGTTGTCCTCATACTGAGCACATGGATAATAAAAATCAGCAGCTGAAATTCCTTGTTCATAAACACAAACCAACACAACGAAAAAGACAACTCTGCCATGCACTTAAACCAACAGACTCTAGTTAGGCATTATCATGCAGGAAGAGATCCCAGTCCCTGTGATTAGTCTGGAAATAACAGCTCCCAGGCAGTTAACAGAACCCCAGAGCAGAGAACAGAAGAGACCACCATAATGTCTCCTGAAGAATACTAAGCTTATGCACCTTAAATATGTTACAGAGATAAAACCTTCCCTGTAAAAAAAGACAGAATATACTTAAATATGGTGCAAGAAAGGTCAAGCAATGCTTTCATGCAAGAAACTAACAAGCTGTGACTTTTCAACTAGAAGAGGAAACAGCTGGAGAAACAGGACCAACATACAGAAAACCAGTATTCTTTGCTTCTTTTAACATAGCAGTTATAAAGAACGCAATGAAACATTCAGTGCAAAAGCTAGGAAATAAGGGCATTTTTTCCACATAAAACACAAACTGTGGACTTGCATCACCATGCGTTGCTGTGAATACTCAATACATAAACTGCTTCCAATTTTTGAAAAACACCCATCAGCATCTATTACATTTTAAAAGACAGATGCAGCCTCTGCTCAGAAATCCTTCTAGTCCAGACTGCAGCATCTTGGGAGGACACACAGATAAAAGCATTGCTGTACAACCAAACTATACTTAACATCTTTCCCTCAGCATCTGCTGCCAGCTTCAGAACCGAGATATTGAGCCCCATGAGCCTGGTGTTACCCTCTCTTATGATCTTTCTGGTCCAAATTATAACTGATATTAGTATCACAGCTTTCTCCCCCCCCCCAAAAAAAAAAACCCTAGAAACAACATCTTCTCCCATAAACACCTATAATGTGAAATCCCCATTCATTGTACCAAGCAATTTCTCTAGGTCTCCCTTCTAAGTTCAATACTAAAATTTACCTAATACGTTCACATTATACTGCGAATACCTCTTATTTTAAGTCATTGCCCTGAAATTCCTATCATACCTTGGCAGCTTATGGAGCTCTGCTTAACTATTTCACTCACCACCGCAAGCAGCAAGCGTTCTACATAATCCGGGGATGCGGGAACACTACAAACTAGTCTCGCATTGCGATTTGATCTTAAAATTCAAAGCAGCTTTGCTGAAAGTGAATAAAATTTTAAATAAGGGTTTTTTTTAAAAAAAAAGCCCAAGTCACTTACGAAACCTGTACTCTCACATCACGTGAGCCGCCAGCTCAGCCCGAGCAGTGACAAATTCCCTGAGTCAGTAGAAAGCTTTACGGCTCTCACCTCCGAGCATCTGCCGCTTGTAGCTCCACAGAGATGGCAAACGCCGGGCCCCACAGACCCGGCCCGCGCGGCTCCCCGCGGCTCAGCCGGAGCCTGGGAGAAGGCAGCACATGTCAGGACCCACACCCCGTCCGGGCCACGGCTCCTGCGCCCCCGCACGGGGCCCTCCCCCGGCCCGGGGCGAGCCCAGACCACGGCAGCGCCGCAACCCCGGGGCTGGGCAGCGCAGCCCGGCAGAGCAGCGCCGCTACCGCCGCTACCGCCGCTACCTCCGCCAGAAAAGAGACTTAGAATGCAGTAGACAGAATGACTATTGTGACTGAAAAGACACCACCACAGAGAGACAGCAGTGACTGGGATACAAAATATTTATTTTTAATAGATTTTTTAAATTCAGTTGTGGAGCCAAGATGGCAAATTTCACTGATTTTCTGAGCATTTTCAGTATAAGAAAGTGGTAACATAGGACACAAGTAGTACCATTAGCATTTTCACTGTTAGGATCTCCAGGTAGACAGAACAATGCTCTATGTGCAACAAGGGATGGAGCTGCATAAGAAAATGGTCCTGGTAGGTTTTTCTGCCACAAACACAGCCGTGATAAACCCCCAGATGTCTCTCACACACTGCTTGCCCTCTTCCAGATTCTCTTTCATTCATCATTTCTTGTTTTCAAAGGTTGGCTTAAGAATGAAAAAATGCTGAGCAAGGTCAAAATCAGCCTTTCCAAAGTAAAAAAAAATTAACTTCTGGGGGCAAAGTATATTCCTGCCATACATATTGGAAATAAAGCTATTTCTCCCATTTATGAGCAGACCATAACTACCTCTGCAGGCAGGTGAAAAAGAATGTGGGGCAAGTAAGCTGACTATTTCTTACTGTGTCAGATGCTCTATCAGCTTGCAGAAATACTGATCATTGTTTTGGCTTTTGGTACCTTTGCAAAAGCACTAAATTTTTTTTAATAACTGAATTTTTTTTTTTTTTAGTGTTATTTGGGTTATAGGAAATCATTCCTCACAGTGCAATAGGAAACTTCCATTTTATCACCCAGGTTAATGCAGAGACTTTGGATCTTTCTACTGCAGCTTTGCCACAGGTGCACCCCCAGGAGGAAGCAGAATATGTTAGTGGTAATGGCAAGTGGGACAACAGACCTTGTTCACAGGAAGGATTAAGCTCCTGGAGCTTTAAAACATAATACAGGCATGGGTGGTGCCGAATTCCCTTTGTCCATTTGATCTCAGCAGCTGTTCCTGAAGTTGATGCTATTCAAAGGAGAGCTCCCCAAGCACTCTGCTGTGCATCATGGATCAGGTTTGGTTTATGTTTTTTTAAAAGGCTGGCCAGGAAAGGAACAGTCTTTGTGGGATGCATTCAGGCAAAAGTGTCAGAAAATTTTACCATATGAAAAACTGTAGTCCACAATCCTTCACTGATAATGCACCAGTTTGGTATAACAATTAACATAGTCTTTGTAAACTGGAGTGAGAAGTGAAACACAGCTTTCTAAAGTGATTCTTAACAGGGTGACATAAGGAGGATTTTGGTACAGAGAAAGACTAGTACCTTTAGAAACTTGGGGTCCTAAGGGATACAATAAAGGATCAAAAATATCAAGTGCTTCCTATATTCTCTTGAGTAATATCACAAATATCCTGCAGTCGATGTCAGGTCTTTGACAGCAACCCAAATTTTTAGAGTAACTCCTTAAACAGTTTTTTCCTTCTTTACTTGGTCTTGCTTGAGTCTAATCAACTGAATTATCTGGAGTCTCCTTTTATTTTGCTTTATAATTCTGTATAAAAATAACCAAACAACTTGTGTTATTTCATAGCTGTTCCATTCTGTCATATAGACTGTTAGCCTAAAAATTTATTGTCGTTCAATTTCTTTTATAAACATACTTTATAGAATAAATTATTAGAGAAATCTTGAAGATGTATTTATAATTTCCTCTTTGTAATTATTTGCTAAAAATTTGGATTAAGAATTATAATGGAAAAAAATTAAAGAACCAGATGAAACTGCTTTATGAAGTGAAATGTACAAAATGCCTCTCAAAACTTAACTTCAAACTGGATTAAACCATAACATGAACAGTAAGACAATAGGCTCCTACAACTCAGAAAGCGAGGGGCTGATCCACAGTTTGTTTGCATTTCAATTCAAACTCATCTTCTTAAGTACATTCAGCAAGGCTGTTTGCTGGAGTGGTTTCTATAGCAGTGTCCTGCTTGATTACAAATCAGCAGGGCTGACGAGGCCTGGGCGAGCAGAAGCTCATTAGAATGTCTGATCCGGTTATGCAATAGGCCGGTGGCAGCCTGTGACTCCTTTATTGTCCCTTGCTGTAAGAACTTCGTCTCCACAAAGCCCAGCTCACAGGGCTTTCGTGTCTCTTTGTGGAGATGTGTAAAAATAACCTCATAAGCCAGTCTGTGGGTTGTGCTCTGCACTGGTAAGCGCTTTGAGGTCTGCTCTCAGTTCCAGCTCACACGTTAGAAGCTCCTGTCATGCAGTGGTCTTAATAGATGTCTCTGGAGCTCATTGGTGGCTCCAAAGGTGCAGAGACCTACAGCAGGTTACAGGAGTTTACATTCTTAAGCCCACCTGTGTGATCCATTCCCTCCTCTCCCTCAGTGTCCCACTACTTGAGAGTCACGTGGCTCAGTATTTAAAAGACATTCAGCTTCTTGCTGAAAGTTTCCTCTGCTCCTGCACTTGGACAGTGAAATTTCAGACTAATGCCTGTTAGGTTAAAAAAAATCAGAGAGAAAGATGCTTATCTTTCCCCAGAGTTTGACCAAGGACACCAGCAGTCACAAAAATATCCACAGAGGAGATGGTGCCCTTACCTGTCAGAGTAACAAGCCTTTGTGCCAAGCCAAAGCCACGGAAAACAAACTAAGCTTCGGGAATCCAAGTGGGTGTGACACAAAAAGGATGCTGACTCCACAGAAAAGAAACCACAGCCAAAACCTTTGAACAAAACTGCCTCAGGGTGAGTGACAAGATGCCAACTAAAACATGGACTGCCACTATTTCACTGCTCCTCCCCAAAATTTTCTACACAGTTATGATTTTGCACAGGCCCTGGTTTTTATTGCATTTTTTTTTGCTCATCTGAGTCAGTCCAGCTCATTAATTCTATTTATTTTTATTTTTTGGTTGGGCTAGAGTTCCAGCAGCTTAGCAAGTGAATTGGCTTACAGGTGTTCCAAATATGCTAGAGCAAGTACAAAACAATCTAGGACAGAAGAAAGAGAAAAGAAAGCACAGGGAGAGGAATGGGATTCCATAGTTTCAGTATCAATGAGGCATTAGATACTAATCACTTTCAGGGAACCACAACCACACGTTTCTCTCTCTGTAACTTTATTTCTGATTAAAGATGGGAGCAGATATTTCCCTCATTTAACTACCTCCACACATGATAAAGTTACCATAGGCACTCCATTTTTTTCTTCCATTTTGGGAGGCAGGCATCAGGTAAGTTTTCACTGAATTTACCCCAAGAATTTCAGAGAGTAGTTCAAGGGACCTCTTCCATGAAGTAAGGAGCAGCACAGACAATGCCATTTAGTTGAACTGTTTTGAAGAGTTTCAGCGATGCAGATATTTCATGACAAATTTTGATGTTAGTAGCTATAGCAACTCATGCCATGAAACAGCTGTTCTCCTTCCCACCCTATCCTGTACTACACATACATCATCTTTGGAGAATATGTGCAATATTTTGCATGTCTGCTCCAATCTCCATTTGAAAAAGCTTCACAAAAATTTGTTCAGCATCTCACACTTGTGAAATATCACTATAGACAGGGCCAAATGTCACTGAATCTTGTGCATCTGACTGCTCTCCTTCATTAGACCAGCTGCTGAAATAGTTGTGTAAATGCCATTACCAACTCTAAGGCACTCAAAAGTGTTTGAAAATATTGTAGTGTACTTGAAAAGGAGGAAGAGCCAAAGGTAGCACCAGGGAAATGAAGAGAAGCTCCCACAGCTTGTGAAAAGCAGTAAAATAGCATTTCAGAGAAAACAATAAATGAAGGGCATTAGTTTGGTGCCTGCAGAAACAGTATGTGGTTTATCTGATCTCTCACCAGCCATAAAAACAAGACCTTTTTTACTGTCAGCAAATAAACAAATCTATGTCATAATTCAGCACCCCAAAATAAACACACAACCCCAAACTCTGAAGAATTATCAGAGAAAAGGGAGCAGGAATGGTTTTAATTTTAAACATGGGAAATTAAGCACCAAAGTATTAAGTGCATCTTTAGGAAAACCCATTCCATAACCAAGGGCTGCAATTTATTTTCTTAGTTCCAATTTCAGACCATTAGAACATTAAATTTCAATAAAAATATGTCCTGACACACTCAGCTGAGTTTACCATTCATTTTTCAGTCCAATGAAGCAGCACAGGCCTCAGAGCTACCAGGACACTGCACGTAAATACAAATATTCTCCTTCCTTGAGAAAATTTACTGTAGATAATTTGTTGACTGTAAAAACAAGAATTAAAAGCTTTCCATATGGTGAAATATTTAAGAAAATAAAATTTCTGTAACCATATTTCACCACAGTACTGTCCTTTCAGTCTGATGCCCGCAAAGCAACACAAAGGGTTAGAAAAGCAGCATAATGTAATAATTTCAACCCTGTCTCTCTTTAGCTGATCTCTGATTAGCTTGCAGAGCCATTAAACTGTAGCTGTCCATACAGAACACAGCTGATACTCCAGTTTTAAAGCATTCTCAGCTGCAGCTAGTTTTGAACAATGCCTCTCCCAAGAGAGGTTCTTCAGGTCACTCCACTGAGTGTGTGAGCTAGGGTGAGTTAAAGACACTTAAATCAAAATCCTTTTGTTTTTCTTTCAGGATGAGCTCAGCAAAAAGTTAGGAAACAATTGTGTATGTGATTCCCTGTCACTCTTCAGTCTGGCGAGTGCTGATGCTCAGGTGCCTATGAACAGCTTTAACTTCACGTGCACAAGTGCCATCACCTTCACTAGGGAAAAAAAGGAAATTTCAAGAGAGATTAAAGGCTTTTTAACTATTTGGAAAAAATGCAATATTCAAGTTAATATCTTAAAAATATAATCAAACCCTTATGGTTTAAAATAAATTTGAGGGACAGCAGTATGGTGTGAGCAGTGTCTCTCAGATATCTTTGCCCAGACATGCTGTCTCTGCTGAGAGCTCTGCCTCTTGCATGCTGTGCCCGCAGCAGAAATGCAAAGGCCAAAAA